AGTGTGCATATTTTGCTTTCAGGTGACATGAATGTATTGTCTTGTTTATTACCTCAGCTTGGAGTATTAACAAGAAAAAGGTGCCAGTAAATTACGTAAAAAATTTTTTAACTTTTTGTTATAATCAGAATTCACAATTAATAGGAAATGTAAACAGCCAAAAAACAATGAGAACTATATGCAAAATTCCTCAGATTAAATTTGTCTTCTAAAATCGGAGGAAGGCAAAAGATATAGGTAGTTTCCATTCATACAAGTCTTTCAAGAAGACTTGCTCGAGCCAAACTAAATGAGCATCATCAGGTGATCGGTAAGGCTGCAAGTTGAATTCAGCCCTGCAACCTCCTGCATAGACGATAATATTAATTAGTGGGCTATGAGCTAAATTCCTAAATTTAGACACAAACATATCTACGAGGCATTATGTACCATCAATGTTAACTACGATAAAATGAATATGTAATATGTCTAATAAACTCACCTACTAAAGCAAATTCGATGGGTGCAAACTTTGTGTTATGGAATTGTATCACAGCACCGTTAAGAAAAGTATAAACAGTCTTGCTGTTTTGTAAGAAACCCTCTTTAAATAAAATTTCAATGTTTAAGTACAAACATTAAAACTAGTAACTTTGAATTTTGTCATTATCTGCAAAATGTTCCACACAAATCTTCACACTATCTCGTTTGTAATCTTCTCTGATAATATAAAAACGTCTATGATGTCCAGAATTACTCTGCTTAGCTTGTCTGCCATTCCAGCTTTCCAAGTGAGCAAAACTTCTTGGATTTAATGATTATTTTCTTTCGTCACAGGCGCAAAAAGCCAGATGCTACACGTAAAGAAGGCGCCGAGTAGCAAAAGCGAACGGGAAACGGTCTCGAAAGGCGACGATAACTATGTGCATTGAAGCGTATCATGAAATACAATCTTTCGCGTGTAGTCTTATGGAGTGACGTCAGAGTTGCCTATCATGTTGTTTAATGTCATTGGTGCAACGTACACTTCGGTAATTTGAATAATTTAACGGCAGTACCGCTGCTTTTAGATGCTAACTTGACGTATTAATAATTGTGACATAACAATATAGTAGTCTCTTTTTACGGAACTAGTGAAGTTAGTCGCAAACCCAGTGATAAATGAACTGCCTCCATTTCTAAAAAATATTTTGTATTGATATTTAATAAACAAAAATGTTCATGACTGACATACTGCTGCCGGGACATTCAAGTTCGCCTGGCGGGACGCCGAGACAGCTTGTCAAAATCGGGACTGTCCCGGCTAAACTAGGACGATTTCTAAGCCCACGGGTAACCAGTACTAGACAAGATAAGATTTTATTTCGATTCATTCGCAAAAACAAAATAAACATATATACACAAAAGATTAAGGCGAAGAATCTGGAAAGTGAACAAAACCTAATAAAATAGGTTTAAAACGTATTAAACGCGTTCACTTACCAAAGAAGAAAGAAACGAGTCACAAACAAATAAACATGAATATTGACGGCAGTCATTACTCAGGAGTTTCACTTGGTAATCAGGTTGCATCTCCACAAAATCTTCCATTTTGCACCCATGTTGCACATTTCCAGTCCATCATTGAAAAATCTGCTATTTCTGTTATTTGTTTATTGATGTCACTAAGTCTGGGATTCACTTCTCGAATGCAGACAGGATAGGATAGGATTTACATATTTATCCCGGGGGAGAGGAAAGCCGATAAGACGGCTTATCCATATGGCGAACCACGGCCTCTCGTCCGGTTACCATTCCAAGTCGGGTATGGGATTAGTTTTACTGTATTGTTTGTTTTCGGAAGCATGGACTTGGTGGTAGAGGAAGCCGTAACCGACCAGCGGTTACGTGAACCACCCAACGACGGCGAGGAGTCCAGCAATCCTCTCGTCCATCACCATCCCTGCATGGGATTCGAACCTGCGAACCCACGCAGAGTAGTTAGAGGTGCGGTGGCGAGCGTATTCCTAACGCTTAGCCCGTTGAGCCACACCGCCGCGGACAGGGTGGACCTTTCCCCGACGTTTGATTCCGGGAATATTCTCTCTATACTTTACCATGGCAAAATTTTCAGTGCTTAATTTGAGAGTGGTTTTGCGAGTTGGCGCCTGTAAAATGGGGTATTTGTTTCAAGCCATCATTCTGATTCATACAAGGGAGTCGATGCTCAGGGAAACATCCATACAAGCCCACAGGTTTTTCGCCCACTAGGTGACGGGAGACAGTTTGGGTTATGATTTTGGGAGAGCAATGAAGATTATACATTGGGGATTTTTTTTGTCAAACCAGAAAACAATAGTACGGTACCGGTACCGTTGTACCGGTAACAAGTATAAGTATATAAGTATAAGTTTATTTCGACTCCATAATCAGCAATAGACGATAAAAATTGGGTCTTACTACTTACTGAATACAGCGCGAAACACCGCGAAACAGCGCGATAGAGCGCAAAACAGCGCCAAATAGCGCGAAACAGAGGAAAACAGCGCGAAACAGAAGGAAACCAGTGCAAAACAGAGGGAAACAGCGCAAAACAGGAGACGCAGTCATTACCACCTCCTGCCACGAAAGAACCACGGCGCCTCTCGCCATGGTTTTATGGCGCTATTTCCGGCATATATACAAGGTTATGTACTGGATTAAAGGTCATCATGCGAAATTTTATCTACCTTTTTGGTGCTCCAGAAGTATGTGCAGCAATATGTCGCACAACCTGAATCCACAACACACACACATACTATTTTCAGGTTGGGCGCCATCTTGGTGCACATACTTCTGGAGGTCCCTTTTTACCTAACCCTAACCCTAAAGCCAACCATATCCATATGGAAAATGTTCTAAATTATGGTACCCAAAATGTGTCACCAGCAGGGGCAGACCTGCCATTACAGCATTACTGGCTACATACGTTGGTTTGTGTTTTTAATTTGCTGCCGTGGTACTCCAACTCAAAACAAAGTGCCCCGAACTCATTGCAAAATTTTTTTCTGCTTCACACTGTTTTCCTCTGTTTTGCGCTCTTTCGCGCTGTTTCCCCACTGTTTTGCGCTGTTTCCCTCTGTTTTGCGCTGTTTCGCGCTGTTTCGCGCTGTTTCGCGCTGTTTCGCGCTGTTTCGCGCTGTTTTGCGCTGTTTTGCGCTGTTTTGCGCTGTTTTGCGCTGTTTTGCGCTGTTTCGCGCTGTTTTGCGCTCTTTGTGGTGTTTCGCGCTGTATTCAGTAAGTAGTAAGACCGATAAAAATTAGATAAAAACAAAAGTAAAAGTAACTGATTATAGAATCGGGAAAGCGAACAAAACCTAGAGTAAGGTTTGAAACGTACAGATTTTAGATGGAAAGGTATTGATAAAAGAAGTAGTACGTGTTCGCTCACCCAAAAGTAAAAAAAAAACTAATTAAGGCACACACAATCATCGAGACATGATAGTCGGAAGCGAAAAAAGCGAGACTTAAAAGTAAAAAGGAAGGAAAATATACAAACAAATAAAATAAAAAAATGAATCAATTCTTTTGCCACACCAAATTAATAATTTTATGAGGATTGCCAAATTGGATACCGAATTAGTCAACAAGAGTAATGTATTGTGGATAGAAAAGTATTCCTCAAAAGATATCGTCAAGCTGATTATAATTGGAGTCACCTAATGCTGTAATGCCAAATTGCCCAATCAGAATTGCCAAGTTGGATGTATGAAGAGGTGGGCTAGACCTGCTTCACTCATCAAATAGAAGCCACAACAATCCAAATAACCTCCAAATTATTTTAAATACTATTAATCAATAACAGTACCGGTAATCAAAATTAATTAGGGCGGTATGATACAGAGGTAGGAAAATTGGTTAAGGGAATATATATGGTGTTTAAGGTTCAAGTAAGGTTTCTAGGGTCATGGATTATGGGCAAGTAACTTTAATTGAGGTTGTTGATCACTGCGGTCAGTTCAAATTCAACACGGATGATTCATCAGTCTGCAAGTTTTGTTGATGTATACACCTTTCATGTTGACATAGATAGCATTTAAATTGATCATCATGACGTCCTGAGAAACGAAAAATATATCTGGGATTACAATATTCAATGATTGCAAATAAGGAATCAATAGAAAACTACCCAACACCTTTGAGTGGAAGTTGTTGAATTGTGTAAATATTGATTAATATTAATTGAATATCATTAGACTGCTAGTTGAAAGACCTGAGAAAGAAGAGATTGTGGTTGGGACACAAGAGAAATTGTTCACAAACCATGCAAAAACCTTTCGATGCAGAACCATGCAGAAACCTTTCGACAAAATAACAGATTATTCGGTGGATGACTGGGCAGCCGGGTGGTAACGATTCAAGGTTGATGTTAGTCAGTTACCGTGTCATCCAATGCAGATACAGAATAAGTTGAGACAGGGTCCTGTATTATAAACTTTCAGTATCTGATACCGGTGCGCCAGTAAACTATAATATACGGTACCGGTAATAATCTTATTGGAAGGGAATTGAATTTTTTTTTTGTATTTATTATACAATTTAAATAATTTTCAAGTTCCTAAAGCAAATATTTCAAAATCAAGAACTCACTGTCGAATACAGGGAGTCCTCGACTTACGACGTTGTTTCGTTCTTGAGAAGAGGTGTAACCCGAATTTCAGTGTAAGTCGGAACATTATACTGTACAGTACATAAATCGTTACATAAATCGTTCCGTTCTTGAGAAGAGGTGTAACCCGAATTTCAGTGTAAGTCGGAACATTATACTGTACCGTACAGTACATAAATTACTCTATATATATCGTACTGTATTGTAAAGTACCGTGTGGTACAGTAATAAAATGTACAAATAATGCAAAAATTATGATGTAAATGAGGAAACCAATGAGCCCAAAGCACTGATTTTCTTGATCACAATTATCCAGTTTAAGGGCTTAGATATTAGTCTGCAGTACAGAATTCTATTTTATATTTTTTTGGAAGTGCGTTCGTAACTTCGAAACAGTGTAAGTCGCGACCGTCGTAACCCGAGGACTCCCTGTATACTGAATTTATTTTAATAATATAGAATGGCAGTACGGCACACTATCCCGATTCCGGATTTGTGGCGGTATTCTGGAACACAAAAAAATACATGCACGTCTCTCTATGTATACTGCCCTATATGATTACATATACGATATATTTCCGAACCATTTTATTCAGTTCAATGTCGGTCTGAATGGGGAGTTGGTCTCGGGAATTGCATAAAAATGATAATATAAAATACACATGGATTTATTGATATTTCTTTACCATTGTAGCAACATATAAGGGTAAACTGCCTAATTATACCCGAATGTCCTTCAAATTCACATGCATTTCTTTTTGTTAGTTATACATTATTTAAAGGTCCTCTAGCCAGTTTTGAATGCGGCTATAGTTTATAATGTGTGCACAAATACGTATTACAATAATACTAAAAATAATATTAAAATCATAATGAATGCGAACTAAATCTTCATATTTCTAGCCCTGGGGAGGAATTCTTATTTTCATACTCTTCAAGCGGGGCTGGATTAACCATTAAGCAAAATAAGCATGTGCTTGCTGAAATTTCATAGCCAAATTCTGGTTCTCCCGAAGTATGCGAACCAAGATGGCGGACATCGGAACGTAACAATGGTAACAGGTTAGGGTTAGGCGATAATTTTTTCCAATTTTCCTTATTTTAGTCCTATTATCAGTTCGAAGACAAGCCAAGAGCCTCCTGTAGTATTTATAGCTAAAATTATGGCCTAACCCTAACCTGGTACACATATTACATTCCGATGTCCGCCATCTTGGTTCGCAGACTTCGGGAGCCCCCAAATTTTTACTAATGCCTCAGTGTTGAGTTGAAATATTCGAGTTTGTCAGACGATTTAGATCTCAATAATGGGTTTGGTTTGAATAAATTTTTGCCTATTTTTTTTTCTCGAGTATGATTTTAACATCTCCATGTATGCCTGTAGGTATGAGAACTAACTACCCCCCAAAAAAATCATGTAAATTAATCATAACTTGACTGAGTTAACTCAGTATTATTAAGCTGTTTTTGTTCTCACTGTTAGTTTTGATAGATAATATCTTGACTTCTCGTGTAGCTTATTGTGGTAATATTTTGGGAAACACACCTATATATATAAGGCAACAAAATTCTTCAGTGCTTAGTTCCAGCCCTGGCCTCAGGTCTGCATAGATATGAGAAATTATTCAAATGCCCATCAGAACATAGCCAAAAATTGTAACATTATTTGTGTTTTAAAAGTGTATCACCTACACAAAAATTAGAGATTTAACTTCTTGCATACTGCCTTATTCCCATACCCAACATGGACTGTCTGTCACATCCATTTTTTACTTGATGGATTTTCAAAGTTTTATCTTATTATTTACAGAATAAAATTGATTAATCATCATGACAAATGGACAAGAACCCACTTTGCAGTCAAAATTCCAAGGTGTCTCTCTTGGTGCTTTGTTTGGGGACTGTTTCGGTGCAAGATTCGAGCACATGAAGGGGACGCCTATGGAAGAAGTGATCGTACATTTTGATGAAGTAGTTGAAAAAGTGAACACTTCTGAAGCACAAACTGAAAATAGTGTAGAAAAGGGATTCATGGGTTACACTGATGACACTTGTATGACCTTTGATCTAGGTGAAGCACTTGTGGATAAAAAAGGTTACAATGCCAAATATGTTCTCAAAAAATTTACGCAGACTTTCTTAGCTGCACCCCTTGAAAGGAATTATGGAGACAGCGTTCGGAAAATATTTTATAAACTGAAAACTGTCGGTTTCCGTGGTGATCCATATGAACTGGCAAGTAAACAGTTTGATGGATCAGGTTCTTATGGTAATGGTTCTGCAATGAGAGTTTCTCCAGTTCCTTTATTTCATCATAATTGTATTCCTGAGATGGTGACACTAGCCTCAAACCAGTCTAAATTAACCCACTCGAATCCAAAAGGTATCAATGGTGCGATATTTCAAACGCTCTCAATTGAAAAAGCTATGACAACAGAGAAAATAACTGACATGGGCAAATATTGCAGAGAATTATTTGAACAATTAAAAGAAACCACCCCGGCCCAAGAAGACTTGGGAGTGTACGAGGAAAAAATTGAAAATATTGTGAATTTATTAAACGCAGATCATGAGGTAACGCTTGAGGAAATTAACGACAAAATTGGAACTGGCGTCGCTGCTTACCAGTCTGTCCCGGCAGCGCTATTTTGCTTTTTGCAAACTCTTGATGAGTCCAAGATTTCAAAATTGTCTAAGTTCAATGGTATGGTCCGAACAGCTATATATGCAACAGCTATGTGCCATGATTCGGATACAGTGGCCTCAATGTCTTGTGCCATGGCCGGAGCATATTATGGCGTCGAGTCAGTTCCGTCGGAGTGGGTTTGGGCTTGTGAAGGATCTGATAGAGCATTGAAAATTGCAAATGCATTATTCGAGATTAACAAGAGTGATGGGAATAAGAGTAAAGATAAGCAATGTAAATTGATGTGACAGCCTGAACCTATTTTTACTACACTCATAATAATCCCCTTTTCATATATATGTATTTCCCCACATACAAGCTGACCGTTTTAAGACAGTGAATTTTTAAAAATTAAGTTAGCATTATGTCATTTCCTTCGAGTGTGATCAGAGTTGTGAGTATATAAGCCAAATTTTTAAATGCGATCGACAGAAATCTTACTTTTTTTTGAGATTTAAACTCATCTTATGTGTGAGTATACACGGTAGTTTATTTTTTCACCATACTGAAAATAGAGTACCGTACATACAAATGCGTTATTTGAGATTATCCAGAGTGGGGTGGAATATGAAAAAAGATGAAGAATGTAAATTGATGTAACAGCCTAAACCTTTTTTACCAGACTCAAATAATGGTTCTTTTTTTTTCCATATTACTCCTGTTTAATGTCAATCAAAATACGGAAAGGATTAAAATTTTAAAATCAAATTTTTCTTTTATAATAATGATATTTTTACAAACTATAGCAAATATTTATTCCTACATTCTTATAAAGCATCATTATTCTACATCATGTTAAATATGTACCTATTTTTTATTAATCGTTTTATATCAGTATATATAATGGTTCATATAAACTGTATTTACTCTGTGCCGTATTAATTTCTAGATCAGAGCAAAATGGTGTTGCAAAGGCATGAGAATTTATGTCTCACTGTAAATGCCGCGAAATTGCATTTAAAAAAATGTAGAAAATATTTTGCTGGCTGCACGTGGTATGTCAATAGCTGCTAAAAATGTTTAATATTTGGGAAAACATGGTTCTTTTGGGCTAGAATTTCAACATTTATCCTAACAGGAAAGAGGTAAGACAGCTTAATTACATCGCGAACCAACGTTTCTCTCTGTTTACCAGAGTCAACAGCTCTCTCAAGTTTTTTAAAAAAATTGTATCAAAGCGAGGTTATGTTATAGGGAGACAAGATGCGGTCTTAGGGATTAAGACTATTCACCCTAATATTCAAAGTTCGATTCCCACGTTATTGATTTCACGTGTTATTGAATGTGACTCCAATCTGGATTCCCTCAGACGATAATAAGCACACGATGTTGAATTGTTGTATATTATTGAAAAGATGCACGATCGAAATTTCAAATACAGATAAAATTGTACACACTTAATTCTTAATGCAGTAAGATTACGGTCAGATCTCGAGTGAAAACAAAAACACAATATTACGGAGCAGTCTCGGAAAACCGGAAACGATACGTCATCAAATTGGTCGAAACGAGAAAGGCAATACATGGAGCGAATGCATTATCGCTGTTGCGAAACATAATGCGGCCTATTGTGTGAAATAATACATGCTATTAATATGAAAGGGTTAAATACATTATAATCCATAGTTACACAATGCACATTCGCTACAATGTACATCACAGTAAAGCTATCAGCTGCCACTGGAATATTAAAATCAGTTCTGCGCCAAGCATTGTGACCCCCTTCAACTAATCTGTGGTGCTACGCTGCTCCTGCTCTATAGAATTTTGGCACAAGTTAATGGCGACTTCTGAAATGCCAAGGGGTACTGAAACTGTATTGAAATTCAGTTTATGATCTTCCTCAAGCTAGAAATCAGTTTTTTTCTCTTCCAATCTGAAGGTTTAAGTTCCTGAAAGTTGAAATTCCCAATTGTATTTCCACCTCCAAAATTAAAGTTACATTTATCTTTATGGTCGGTCTTGCTTTTTTTAGAAATTATCAACACTTTAAACCTTATCGAAGGTTTTGTTTGCTCTCCTGATTTCATATTCAGTTTCTATCATTTTCTTGTGCCTTATTATGCTGATTATGGAGTGGAAATAAACTTATACTATATTATTAATAACTTCAATAATGATCGCTTTATTTTTTATTTAGTGTGACTTTTAGTGTAAACCTTTTAATCGTTTCTAAGTCTTAATATGCCCGCCACCAGAATAGCGCACTAACAAGGAACTCGACTTCTAGGAAGATGCTTCATACTATGGTTGATGAGCCAACAGGTAAAATTTTTGGAATTTTTTTTTCAAACAGGATTTACATATTTATCCTAGGGGAGAGGAAAGCTGATAAGACATCTAAATTTTTTGGAAAGCCATAGCCTCTTGTCCGGTAACTAGCCATATTCAAATATATTAAATTCGTTTTGGACATCCTTGCTCGTTTACTGATACGAAGGCACTCCTGTAGTATGTGTACCAGGTCAGGGTTGGGACATAATTTTATTTCGATTTTCCTATTTTAGTTCTATTATGAGTTCAGGGACTGTCTGTGTTAGCCAAGTGAATATACCTTCTGCTTATAGGATTCAGTCCCCTTACACAACCTAATGTAAAATAGGCGAACAAAATTAGTTACCTCCATATTGGTACACATACTTCTGAAGCGCCGATGCGAACGTGTACAAGCACTGCTCCAACATATTCTTTCTTATTCTTTGCAGGCCACCATTCAGCGACTCTGATATTTCTTCATGGTTCGGGAGGAGCGGGGGTCACAGTTCGAAGTTGGATTCAAGAATGCTTTGCCAGGATTGGGGATGAAGAAGGATTACAGTTTAAGCATATCAAGGTATGAGGATGTAAAACAGTTTTTCCCTATCGGTATGAATATATCAACCCTATGAAGTGAGTGTAACGATATACATTTTTGTTTGTGTGCCACGTGACTTTTCTTTGGCTTGGCGGTGTGGCTCATCGTGCCAAGCGTTAGGAATACACTCTCCACTGGTCCTCTGATTACTCTACGTGGGTTCCTGGTTCGAATTCCATACAGGGATGGTTATGTGCGAGAAGATAGCTGGACTCCTTGCTGCTGTAGGGTGGTTCACGTAATCGCTGGTCGGTTACGGCTTCCTCCACCACCAAGTCCATGCTTCCGAAAACAAATAACTAACCAATGCCATACCTGACATGGAACTGGTAACCGGATGAGTAACCGTGGTTCGCCATATGTTAAGCCTTCTCATCGGCTTTCCTCTTCCCTTCGAATAAATATGTAAATCATATCCTATCCTTGTTTATTTCGATTTAGGTACTATATTTTTCTGCGTGTTATAAGTACTTTTAGGGTTAATTTCATTTTCAAAATTTGGTGTTCATTGGTGTTGTAAAATATTGATCAATGTTTTATGCTTAGCTGGCGCATACTTTCCCACATATTAAACTCATACATAATATGGGGGAAATGTGGTGTAAGAGCTACAGGGCATTTGGAGGTCATTAACTGGAATCAAGGTCATCAACCAACCCCCAGTGAGATATAATCATTCATTGACTCAAATGACCTGTGACCTGGAGTTTAGAGACTCCTACACAACACTGTAAATGCAGCTCCCTAACAGAGGGTTGCGTCAGCATTCCTTGTATCTAGTGGGACTCCCAAGTTAAATGGGATTTACATATTTATCCCAGAGTAGAGGAAAGACAATAATACGGCTCCATCGTTCGGTTACGAGTTCATGTCGGGTATGGGATTAGTTAGCCAGTTATTTGTTCTCGCAAGCATGAACCTGACGATGGAGGAAGCCGTAACCGGCCAGCTGTTATGTGGACCACCCTACAGCGACGAGGAGTTCAGCAATCCTCTCGCACATGATTAACCCCGCATGGGAAGTCACGCATTGTAATCAAAGGTGTGGTGGAGAGCGTATTCCTAACGCTTAGCACGATGCGCCACAGAATTATTATTGTGTCATTACTTCAACAGCGTGAGAGATGTCATGCATGATGTGCCGGGTAAATATTTCAATTACAATGGAGAGAGATAAGAGTGCTTATCAGCGCAACTAAAAATGATAACATATCGTAAATGTGATTAAAATTCGGGCGTAGTTGCTAACGACGATTGCGCACAAATGATAACGTTTTGACCGCGAGACGGCTGGCCGTAGATCAATGCTGTTGCTCTTATGCAAAAGATACAATCAAATTTAATCCAATACAAGCCATCACGTTTATGATCAGACAATCACACCTGGACAAGCGATCGCGTGTGTGCGTGCACGCTTTTTATCGTGAGAACTTGGTATGGTTTGAAGATTTGGAATTACCGGCAAGGCATAGTATCTTCTCGTTGCGGGATTCTGATACGAGAATGAGCCTATTTTTTGGTGCAATCTGAGTCATGCGCGAATAAGACGGTCCCTTAGTTTGGCAACTTTTTTTTTGAGTTTTAGACTCGGCGTATTCTCGATCATATACGGCAGGGCTGCTCAACTGGCAGACCGCATTATCAGCCCCACTTTTGACATTTTCTTTTATAAAATCACTTTTATAGATTTAAATATATATGAAAAGAACTATAACGCCATAATAAACAATCTTGAATAGTTAATAATCATTAGTCGGCCGAGGAAGTGTGTGTTTAAAGATGGCGAAATATAATTTCTGGAAAGACCGGACCCAAATATTTTTGAAGTTTTGTATGCGGATCTTCGGTAAAAATAGTTGAGTAGCCCTGATATACGGTATGTATTAATAGATTAATCTTGTGTTGTTTTTTATCTACCTTCCAGGTAATCTACCCTACAGCCACCCCACAGCCATACACTCTTACGGGAGGGGATCCAAGTAATGTCTGGTTTGATAGAGTTGCCTTGCAGCTTAAAGCACAAGAAGCCAGGAAATCAACGGATAAGATGTTAGAAATGTTGGCGGAGCTTATTCAGGTTAGAAGACACTAGAGGAGGAAAAAAAATTAAAATTATAAACATGTGGTTCAGGCTTATTCACGTGCTTATCACAATTTAACAATGATGGTGTCACTGAGGGCCAATTCATTAAATAGCTATCTATCTAACCGCCAGATTGTCTCGCTTAGAATTGGGTACACCCGTAGTATGTGTACCAGGTCAAGGTTAGGCCATAATTTTATTCCGATTTTCCTTTTTTAGTTCTATTACGAGTTGGGGGACTGTCTGTGTTGGACAAGTTAATATGGTTTATCTCTGGCCATACGTTTCAGTCCCTTTACAGTTTACAAAACTTGATGTAAAGTAGGCGAACGAAAGTAGTTACTTCCATATTGGTACGCACACTTCTGGAGCGCAAAAAATTGTTGTAAACATGTCGGCCAGGCATATTCACGAGCTTATCACAATTGAAGAATTTTGATGTTGCTGAGGACCAGTCCATCAAATTTGTATCATAAGCAGAACATATCTTGCTTGAATTTGTACTCCTTCATCACTGCTATAGGGCTATTCCAAGTGACTTTGCCGGACAATTCCAGAAATTTTGCATGTTGTCAGATGCAATATATTTTTACATTTTCAGCTACATGTTTTGTTTCATTGTCCAATTAGTTGCTTTATGGGGTTTAAACAAAGTTGCAAAAAAGTTACACAAATGACTTACCGTACTTCGTGGATATAAAATATATATAGAAAAGATAGCGTGACATCCACCATCTCTCATTGAACCACATTTTAAAGCCTTAACTTAGGGGTGTGCAAGGTTTATTGACCAGTGGCCAGAAATGTCGCCCAACTAGACTGGCGGGCCATGTAAGTGTGATGTAAAAAGTTACATTTTATGAACAATATTTACAGTGTTACAAAAGCAAAAGTGGAAAACAATAAGCCCTGTGCCAAAACTAAATCCAATCGCAATCTCAACAGATTCCTGGAGGTATTTTTGGGCTCAAACATCAAAATTTGGTTGTGGCCGCATGAGGCGAGCCAGATTAAATTAGCCAACGGGCCATGGTTTGCCCATGTCTGCTGTAAATGCTATTATACACGTATTCCAATTTTCTTTTGAAAAATAATAATAGGGATTATTTTTGGGATGTCTTTTATCATTTACCGAAAAAAATTACAAAGTGGAGGATAGAAACGAGTAGGAAAGCTTTCTTGCCATCGACTAGGTCTTATTTTAAGGGAAAGGCTTATATTGAAATCATTTTTAAAATTCATGCTAGGTCTTATTTTCAGTGAAACACGGTAATTCTAATATTTAGTGTTGGCAATATAGAAATTGAAAAAAAGTCCATTTCAATTCTTCATTTTGTTTCAGGTCGAGATTGACGCAGGTATTCCTCCTAGCCGTATCATTATCGGCGGATTCTCTATGGGAGGCTCAATGTCATTCCATATTGGTTATCGTAAACGTCTAGATCTGGGAGGGATATTCGCAATGTCATCATTTCTTTATGATGACTCTGCGGTTTATCCTGATTTAAAAGAGCTCAAAAAGAAGAATAGTGATGTCACAATGCCTGAATTGTTTATGACACATGGTACCCAAGATGAGTTAGTGCTTTTTCAGTGGGGTAGGAAGACATTTGAAAAATTAAAAGAATTGGGGGTCAAAGGTCGTTTTCATGCCTCAAATCAGACTCACCAAATACGTTCAGAAGAGATTGTTTTGTTGAAAGAATGGGTGCTTGAAAAATTGCCTAGTAATTTAATAAGTAAGCTTTAAGCTAAGAAGCTCTTGATTCTAGAACGTCAATTCTACAATGTTTTTTTTTGTAATTTTATCACTCATGCTGTAAAATTCAGTAGAGGAAAGTTTCATTGAACTCGCTAATTATTAGTTTAAAAATGGCACTGCTCAAAAGTATTTGCCAGACAAAAACGTTTGATAATCTTAAAAAACTGCAGAATTGAATAATTACTTTTATTTAAGATTATAATTTCTTAGGTTAAAAATACTGTGAATCACTATGCAATGTTTTTATTTAATTGTGATCTTTAAAATCTTTTGATGATCAAATAAAGTGTTAATGTCAGTCTATCGTTATGCATTGTTTTCTGTACTTCTGGTAATACATATAAAAGTAATTTATCCATTCCTCTTTACATATATTTGGGTGGCAAAGAGGAAACAGTATTGTAGCTTGTATATATTTCATGAAAGTGGTTCTATTGCCAAAGCCGTACTCGTCCATGATAAAAGTGTTTTAATAACTTAATTTCAGACCTTAGATATTGAACCTTGGGTGTCGCTGTGCAGTAACCATTCCTGGTTCCACGCGACTTCCATTCTCCAGTAGAATGTTTGTTTAATCTTGTATTTTGTCAATTTCGTGATTTATTTTTTACTAGATGGAAAAAATAAACTTGACTCTGAGCTCTCGGCGTTACCGTAGCGAAATCAATTGCGAATTACATACCCATATATTTTAGGATACCATCGAGTTTTATCTCTTCGAAGCTTATTAGGGAGAAAGCAGAGACATAGGCAAGAAATATTTAACAAGAGAGCTATGCTCAAATATATGGACACGTAGCGCCACCCAGTGGCAATAATTTTGATGACGTCATAGCGAAAAAAGTAATAGCCTTCTGGAGAAAAATTTTATCTTTAACCACTGAAAATATCAAAACAATTGGTCCAGTATTCGAAGAGAAAAGCGATTTTTTAAAAATGGAGACGGAGACAAATAACAATAACAACAAAATTTTGAAACGATCGTTATGGCCACTAAACATGTCCTAAAATAAGCTTCTTAAACTACAACAGCTGGTATATAACTGGAAGTCCCGAGAGTATAGTTAGGATAGAATTCACATATTTATCCCGGGTGAGAGGAAAGCCGATAAGACGGCTTAATCATGGTATGGCGAACCGCGGCCTGCCGTCCGGTCACCAGTCCATGTCGGGTATGGGATTAGTTTGCCAGTTTTTGAAGGTATGGACTTGATGGTGGAGGAAGCCGTATCCGACCAACGGTTACGTAAGCCACCCTACAGAGGCGAGGAGCCCAGCAATCCTCTCGCACATAACCATCCCCGCATGGGATGCGACTAGGGCTGGGCATTTTCGAATACCTGATGATTTCAGCATCGAATGTTTTTTTCGAATCGAATCTCAAATACTTGGGAGATATATAATTGTCTACGATTTTTTTTATTGTAGTTGGTCCTTTTACTGAAAATGTAAAATACATCACTCAGACAGATTGCTGAGCGTTCACACACAATGAAAAACACTTATTAATAACTTACTACAGAAAATAGTCGTATGTCAGAATTGTATTGAAAAAATATGACTTTATTAAAAAAAATTGGGTAATTCACCTCGACCATTGGCGGAAAGAAAAAAGAAGATGTAGGCGATTCCAAATTTTGCTCTGCACCGATTTGAATATTTTACTATTCGATTCGGAGTGCCTGGCCCTAATAACTGGCAGTCCCGAGAGCAGTTAAAAATGAATGTACAAACAATTGTTCTTATCTGTTAATGATGAGATCACAAAGTGTTTAGTACGTCAATATAAAATGTTACAAAAACTATTATGTATAAATGAATTTTAGGGTTCCATTACATTTGAACCGACGACAGTTGCACCTGCATACTATTGTTATTGGAAATTTGCACCTATTGATATTTGAACCCATACTAACCCTAACCCATGGATTTTAGCACCCGCATATAGATTGAACCCGCGGATATACGGGTGCAAATGTGTGGGTTCAAATGTGCTGTCACCGAATTTAAGGTGAGATAGATGTTTTGTTATATGATAAAAATCAATACAACAAGAGAGCTATGCTCAAATATATGGACAGTTTTATCTTTAACCACTGAAAATTTCAGAGCAATTGGTCCAGTAATCAAAGAGAAAAGCGACTATTTAAAAGCGTGTCAAAGAACAACAAAAAGAAGAAGAGTGCCAGCAAAAAATGCAAAACGATCATTATGTCAACTGACGTGTCTAATTACGCTGATTGCGCTATCGCATCCAATTATCTGTGACTTCTTTTTTAATTGATACCCATCCCGATAACACTGTTGTAGCCGATCGAAGCAATTTTCTTGCTGGCGACTTTACAGGCAAACAGTACAGCGCTGTTGAGATCCAATCCGTTTAATCTGGCATGTACCAGAGCAGCTTGAAACGTATCTCCAGCCCCGAGAGTATCTACGACTGTTTCTGGTTCTACAGCCGGTACAAGTTGCTCAATATCACCTGGAACATTCCTCGCGTGAGCTGCACCGAGGTCGCCCCACGAGCAGACAATGTCCCCCCTGCAACAACAAAAAATCAAACTGAATTGAAAAGTTGATGTTGAATGATTTTTTTGATAATATTGCTGGCAAATATGGGCGCTCTCTCTATAAGTATGTGCACCAAGATGGCGCACAACCTGATAATTATAACCTGGTACACATATTATGTTCAGGTTGTGCGTCAGCTTGGTGTACATTCTTCGGGAGCCCCCAAATATGATACTCTGTGACAGTTCTTCGCGCGATTCGAACTTGCCCACTATCAATCAATGGGCGATTCGCACTTAGGCTAGTGGGAAATAGGGCTGGGCATTTCGAATCGAATAGTAAATTATTCGAATCGGTTTAGAGCAAATTTTCGAATCGCCGCCATCTTGTTTTACTTTTTCCGCCAATAGTCCATATTTTTTCAACACAATTCTGACATATGACTCTTTTCTGTATTGAGGTATTGATGAAAACGTGTTTTTTCTTATTGTTAGTGATGTATTCTATGTTTCCAGTAATTTATGTGTCTGGAGGACCTAAAATAATAAGAAAGTTACATACAATTTCATACCTTCCAAGTATTCGAGATTCTATTCGATTCTGAAAGCATCAGGTATTCGAAAATGCCCAGCCCTAGTGAGGAACAGACGTACGTGCACAAAATAATACGCAGTAAACACATAAACGAATATTATTGCGCAACGAAAACCATAATACCAAACTACTGACTGAAAACCATAATATGTGAAATTAAGGGAAGAATGCCGCGTATAGCCAGCTATAAAGAGCGATTTTGTGGCATTTCGTAGTGAGACACGAATTAGTGATTATTTTCATCATTGCTTCATCAAATTTATAATTTGCGCAGAATACACTAGTAATCAGGAAATGTGGAGTTGACAGGTATCACTATGGACACAAGTTCCAACGCCCGAATTATGAATCCGTTGCTTTTGTGTCACGACCTGTGTTCATTTTAAGAAAATGTTACATTGAGCAAATGTTGTTTTACTGAGCATGAATAAATTACCGCTGAGCAGAGTCTACAAACTATGTGAAATATATAACAACAGTATAATATATTACCCAAACAACGTACACGTTTAAATAAAAAATATGGAACATTCTAGCTGGGCGTTAAAAAATATAACGAGCCATGCTCTGGAAACCAATGTTGCAAGCATGTTAAACGGGAGCTTACCCTTCTTTCAATTGATGACGTAAATTTGCAACGCATTCCAAAGCAGATTGAAATCCCAAATGACGAGCAAAGTAACTGCTAATAATGATCTGTCAGAATGAAGAAATTTTTTACTTTTCTTAAATGGACTGAAGAAAATATGAAAATTAAATGAGCCTCGACAATTCGATCTTTGAATTCTTTAATATTTGTTATTTGAACACCGCACACGAACTTCACAAATGCAATGAGATATTACGTTACATATCTCAATTTTCTCAAATAGTACAGGTAATAAGAGCACGCAGAGTAGATGCGCACTCCCGTCTAGAACATTACAGACACGGGCAAAGTACGACCCGCGGGCCAAATCCGGCCCATTGGGTAATTCAATCTGGCCCGCCTGATGCTGCCACATCCAGACTGAACTCGAATTTTGATGCTTCAGCTAAAAAATAGCTCAAGGAATTTGTTGAGATTGCGGTTAAATTTAGTTTTGGCACGAGGCTTATTGTTTTCCACTCTAACACTGTAAATATTGTTCTTGAAATGTTACTTTTTACGTCACTTACATGGCACTTACGTCACAGCCTTGCCCACCCCTGGTACAGACCCATATATTATATTTGTAATGACGTCTCCGTTAATATCCCTATTAAATTATCGATGTTCGTCTTTTCTGTAAAAACATTCAAAAGAAATATACTGCACAAAAATAGGTTTTAGTATTTACCAAATCCGCTAAAGGAATCAATTTAGTGAGTGACGCGTCTTCTGGCATTTCTAGTTCCACGGACACCGATACTCGATTCTCTAACTTTTTAGTTGAATTATGTTGTTGAATTATTTTGATTTGTTTTTCCATGACATCGCAATTTTCTCTATCCTAGAAAAAATGGTGCATGTGAATTTGTAAATAAGAGAACATAATTGAAAAAAAATTATTGACAAATCCTACTACTATATGTGTATATATATATAGTAATTCCACGCAGGCCAAGACCACAAATAAGGTACTCCCGATGAATGTGAACCCAGATGGCGGACACCGGAATATGGTATGTGTACCAGGTTAGGGTCAGGCCATAATTTTATTCCAATTTTCCCTATTTCAGTTCAATTACGAGTTCGAGGAATAGCCAAGTGACTTCCCTAGTATTTGTACCTGAAAATATGGCCTAGCCCTAACCTGGTACACATACTACGTTCCGGTGTCCGCCATCTTGGTTCACATACTACGGTAGTACCAAAAGAAATATTGACAAATCCTATTACTCTATAAATATAGTAATTCCACGTAGGCCAACCCACGAAATGGATGTCCACGGAAAACCTCCAAACTTGAGACTATTCCTAATATAATCCTATATATATATATATATATTATACTTGGTATATATCTATTAAGATACGCGAACGCGTACTATTTCTTTTATCAATACCTTCCAACCTAATATCTGTACGCTTTAAACCTTACTTGAGGTTTCGTTTGCTTTCCTAATTCTATAATCAGTTTTATTTATTTTGTTTTTATCAATTATTTTATCGTCTATTACTGATTATGAAGACGAAATAAACTTATACTTGTTTAGGTGTGACCTAAAATACATTATATATAATATTTTTCATCGTATTTTTAACCATGTTCAATGCATACATCTGTCTTAGTGCGTTGTAGTTATATAATACCAATTCAAAAACAATATTGCCTGTGTAAATGGAGCTCCCGAAGTATGTACACCACGATGGCGCACAACCTGAACATAATATGTGTACCAGGTTAGGGTTCAGGTTGGGCGCCATCTTGGTTCACATACTTCGGAAGCGCCGGGTGAATTATGTGAACACAGTTTACATTGAAGTATAAAATCCTATACACATATTCACCTCAAAATGTATCCAACAATATTTGTTCAAGTCAAGAACAGCAAAATCTTCGATAGTTAATTCATCCAGCGGCCTGGAATTGAAAGCAAGAAACGTTACAGAAATATATTTGTGTTAGTGTGCAGCAAGACTCCTGAATAACTTAGGATAGTTATCTCTACTCTTGCTACGGCATAATTGCAATATATGCATACGGATCCGCCAGCACGAAGGCATAGAAGAAGGATAAGTAGTTAGTCTCGCAGAAACCAAATCATTAGCAATAATTGGACAACAGCCATCAGGGCAATTACCAATACTTTGTTATCCGATACAACGAAAAAATGGAAGGATTTATTCTATATGACAATATAGGGCACTCCTGAAGTATGTGAACCAAGATGGGGGACACCGGAACATAGTATGTGCACCAGATTAGGGTTAGGTAGGGTTACCATATTTTTGTGACTTCAAATCGGGACGCCTCGGAAGACAACGACCCCTTAGCTGTGATTTTGTAACTTCACATTTTCCGATTTTACTACATAGGCCTACATTCAAAGCTGTCTCGGCTGTCTTTATTGGCCATATTGTTATCGAAATTTCATGCGCATATTCTCTGTCCAAGTATTGGGTTCAGTTCGAAAAATAGGAAGGAATTGACGTTAACGATACCGGTACAAATAATTCGAATTTAGACGAATTAGTATTGATTTTACATGCGATACGTCTGCCATCAATGGGAATCAGCGAGAAACGAACGCATTCACCTTCAGTAAGTAGGTTAGCGCTGCGCTACACATAAACAACAGTAACGAGAACATGTTTGTGTATTATGCTGGAAAAACGGGACTTTTAGCTGACTTATCGGAACGGCGGGACAAAACGCTGAAAAGCGGGACGTATGGTAAGCCTAGGATTAGGTCATAATTCCAGGTACAATTTTCCTTATTTTAGTTCTATTACGAGTTCGGGGGCTAGCTAAGTGACTCCAGTAGTATTTGTATCTGGAATTGTGGCCTGACCCTAACCTGGTACACATACTACGTTCCGGTGTCCGCCATCTTGGTTCAGATACTTCAGGGGTACCCAATATTAGAGCCTTATCATGATGATGCAAAACTACAGACTCTAACATATCTCTTACCCCCTGTAATGGGCCATAGTGCGAGTTCCGGTTGCTTTACTCAATATAATTGAGGTTGAAGGGAAGCTTTGACAATCCCGGAGAGCAAGATGTTCATAACTGACACCGGCTTGGTCGAGTTCTGACAAGCAGTATCTGTATATTTTTACAATGTTATTTGTTTATATTGGCTCCAGCGCTGGGGAAAATGGTAATATTCTGATTTTTCTGAATCGAACAATTCTTAGTATCCCTATATATTGATTTTACAAAGTCTCAAAAATTATTCATCATGTCAAATTGATCTAAAATTGTTTGAGTACAAAACAAGAGAGCTATGCTCAAATATATGGACACGTAGTGGCAAATCTCGACGACGTCATAGCACACAAAAAAATGAATCCCATGCAGCTCAGCGGAATATTTGAAATAAATAAAAGTAATAGCCTTCTAGCAAAAAATTTAATCTTGAAGCACTGAAAATTTTAAAGCAATTGGTCCAGTAGCCAAAGAGAAAAGCGGTTTTTTCTGTGACAAAGAACAACAACATAATATTAAAACTATCCATAGGTCCACTAACGTGTCCAATAAATGCAATTAGTTGTAATGGTGCGTACCTGGCTTCCTGGCTTCCCATAATAGATTGTTTCATCTTACTAATATCTGGATAAGTTCCCATGAATTCAGCTTTGTTACCGAGATGAGAAATAACTTCAGCAAAATTTCCGGCATTTCCACCTCTTTGCCAATATCGGGCTTGAGCACTATTTATCAATAATAATAGTAAAAAAGATCCGGATGTATGTGTACCAAGATGTCGCACAACCTGAATCCTAACCTGGTACACACACCATGTTCAAGTTGTGCGCCAATATTTTGGGAGCTCCAAAATGACTATATATAGTATAAGGAATTTTCCAATGTTCATTCATTAATCATAACGACGACCAACCGACAGCATTATGTGACCATTATCAGGCACATTATGCATTAAAAGTTCTTGTTATTATAATGACTGAGTTGGTTATTATGATGTGGACAGTATTACGATAAGATTAACCAAAGATCGCCACAAGGTGGTTAGTACTCAATGTGTATTCCGCAGCGATACTCGGTAAACCACTCTAATTTGTGCTTTGGGTAATAGTTTGGTACTCCCGAAGTATGTAAACCAAGATGGCGGACACCGGAACGTAGTACGTGTACTAGGTTAGGGTTAGGCCATAATTTTATACCAATTTTCCTTACTTTAGGTTTTATTACGAGGTCGGGGACTAGCCAAGTGACTCCCGTAGTATTTGTACCTTAAAATAGGGCCTAACCCCAACCTGGTACACATACTACGTTCCGATGCCGCCATCTTGATTCACATACTTCAGGAGTACTAAATATTTATGCCAACCCCGCGAACATGTAAATTGGGTGTATGGACTTTTTGTTGGTAAAAGGTATCATTGATTTGGAAATTAATATATCCAATCTTGCTGAACAATGTTCGCTGAAAACTATGAAATTCAGTTTGTGAGTTTTCTGTTTAAAAATTCGTTCATCAACAATATAAGGGATCTTTCAAAGCTTGAATTTACTGAAGAGTAACATCCCCAGAAAAATAGATAATATAGTATATACAAAATACAGATATATACATACAGTGTATACAAAACAAAACTCGGCCATCGAGCTATCTTGAAGCGGTAGCTAGTAGGGTCAGGCACTCCGATTCGAATAGTAAATTATTCGAATCGGTTCAGAGCAAAATTTCGAATCGCCTCCATCTTGTTTATTTTTCTTTCCGCCAATGGTCGGGGTGAAGTAGCCAAATTTTTTTTTACGAAGCCATATTTATACAATTCTGACATATGAATATTTTCTATTGTGAATTATTGATAAATAAGTGTTTTTTATTGTGTGTTTACGCTCCGCGATCTGTCTTAGTGATGTATTCAGTAATAAATTTGTTGACAGGACCAATTATAATAAAAAAGTAGCATATAATTACATATCTCCCATTGGCTCACAAGTATTCGATTCGATTCTGAAATCATCAGGTATTCGAAAATGACAAGATCTATACTAAGTAATAAAATAATAGTTGGGTTACCCATTTTGAGAATCTTCTTCTGGATATGACTCGCATATCGTTATTAAGTCAACACATATTTGTCCAACACTGAGGACATATTTTGAAGATTTTACGGAAGACATTCTTGATATTAGGTCCTAAAAAGTAAAAAAACGTTTCGTACTCCCGTATTTTGTGAACCAAGATGGCGGACACCGGAACGTAGTATGTGTACCAGGTTAGGGTTAGGCCATAATTTCAGGTACAAATACTACAGGAGTCACTTCGCTAGTTTCCGAACTCGTAATAAATTATTGCCTAACCCTAACCTGTTGCACATACTATATTCCGGTTTCGGCCATCTTGGTTCACATACTACGGGAGCACACGACGTTTTCGGTGCGAACTCGTTTTTCTCTGTACTGCGCCAATACAACGCTACATTTCTCAAGTACTGCTGTCTGAATTGATATCCTATGTAGATACGACACTCTACAAATTCACGATGAATGACATGAGTCGATCAATCGAAGTTCACTCCGTGATATAGAAATTGACAGCAACAGACATGTGTAGAAGGAAATGCAAAAGCCACCGGACATCATTGATTACACTGCGTGGGTTCGCAGGTTCGAATCCCATGCAGGGATGGTTATGTGCGAGAGGATTGCTTGACTCCTCGCCACCGTAGGGTGCCACCATCAAGTCCATTCTTACGAAAACAAATAACTAACTAATAATAATAATCGGCTTTCCTCTCCCCCGGGAAAAATATGTAAATCCTATCCTATCAAGTTATTGAAAATATTATATTTTTTGACTTCAGTAAATTTAGTTAAAGCAATACTTTGCGATAGTTCTATTTTAATTCAAGTATTACATATCAAAACCTGATTTTCTGGTAAAACTCGTTTGATATTAAATATACATTCATTATATTGTACGTCCTTTTGATTTTAGAATGTATTGCCAAAGTATCGATCATCTTCTTGGCTATACTAGTGTTTCATGTATTCAAGAAAGGGGAAAATGTCATCACCCTCACGTACGTTCCGTTGAATGCTTACCTGCTCTCGATCGAAACAGAAGCTTCTGCTTCGTTGTTCAGCAACTTTGTGTCTTTCATTCCACGTCAAAACTCACAAACCGTGTTTAATCTGCGCGCTGTCAATCGAATTGTGACATAATAAATACCTGTTTAATTGGTAGAGTATAACAGAAATCGTAGCAAAATAAGTAGGGTTAGAGTGCTTTTTGAATCATATTTGCGTGGTCAAGTTAACTTCAACAGTAATATTACATCTGTGAGGTGTGAAAGATTATAAACGTGCGCACGAGGTGGTAGATATCCAACAACGTCATATGTTAAGTCTTACGCATGATGTTTTGATTGACACTACGGAAATTAATTTTTTAATCGATAAAAAGGCTTTGACATACCTTGAATGATCATTTAAATGAAATTTTTCGTGACTCATTGTTGTGTCAGCTGCAATTTTAAAATTTGTCAATCAATCAATTTTATTTTGGTCACTCTGAAAGAAACAGAACAACAACAAGATAGCGATCAGAGACCGCCGACTTATCGATCTAGCGGCGTGTATCCTTCGCTCTGACTCAATAGCGACACCGCGTGTCCAATAATTAATTAATTGATAACTCGCTAATTATAGGACATAATTCATCCAAAATCAGTAGGCTTCTGGTCTGAGATATGATGAATGCACAAGCTTTGGAGCAGATTCAACCTCGCTTTCGTGGAATAGCGCGTAACATACGAAAGTGTCTATCAGACAGACAAATACCTATTATTTTTTTAGGGATTTTTTTGCCTATTCAAGTCAATTGGAGCGTAATGCAACGGTTCTTTCCTACTTTAGCTTACGACATCAAACTCGCTATATAGGGTTATTCACGATGAGCGGTTAACCAAGATTAATTTTCCCATTTTTTGTCTCTTTATAATACGAATTTATGCACACTGTATATTTTCCACAGTTGAGTATGTTGTCTGTTAATTAAGGTACTGTGGGTAGCGGTGTCTCGAAAATATCATGTCTCATTTTCCCCACTTGTCTCACGTATCCCACGTGTCGCGCCTATTCCAGTTGTCACACTTGTTCCACGTGCCCCGAGGGACGTGGATCTCCCCAGATTCTGTGGTGATTTATTACGCACGTAATCAAAGAAATTTTGAAATGAATGATGGGGTTCGAACCTTGCAAACACACGCAGGATAATCAGAGCTGCAGGCGCGAGCGTATTCCTAACGCTCAGCATGATGGTCCACACCGCCCAGCCAAGAGTGCCAGCACCACGGCTCCAGCATCAGCTATTATTCTTCAATAAAACAACGACTAATTTGACAATGAGTTCTGTCATGACGATTCTTATTATATGGAAATTGAAAATGTGTTTAATATATCTTTCCTCGAGAATATTGTCAATACCGCGTGCAAACTCTGCCCTGAAGTTTGACCTCCGGATTTCAAATATATGACTCCTTGTAGCGTCATCGTTCCTATTAGCAAGATTGTCTGGATAGGATAGGATAGGATTTACATATTTGTCCCAGGGGAGAGGAAAGCCGATAAGGCGGCTTATCCATATGGCGAACCACGGCCTCTCGTCCGGTTACCATTCCAAGTCGGGTATGGGATTAGTTATATATAGTTTGTTTTCGGAAGCATGGACTTGGTGGTGGAGGAAGCCGTAACCGACCAGCGGTTACGTGAACCACCCAAAGTGACTATGATCTGCATTGCCGACCGGTGTTTAATGTAGATACCGGTAGTTCAGAACTGATAGCTGTAGGCCTACATCTATCTCGTTGTTAGTAAGGATTAAGTGTCCATTTTATTCCGGGGTAGAGGAAATACGGCTTATCATATAGCAAACCACGGTCTCTCGTCCGGTCCAAAGTTTATCTTTACTGTTCACTCCCATTTATAAAATTGATCAATTTGGCAGTGCAATCATCATAAATTTATTAATATGGTGTGGCAAGTATTTTTTATTTATTTATTTTTTATTAACTACCAGTATGTAATTTTTCATGTTCCCATTACTTAATAACTTCTATATGGTTGTGTGTGTGGAAGCGTGTGTGAAATATTCCAATTATTTTAGGTGAGTGAACACGTACCACATCTTCTTGGCAAAACCTTCCATTTTATATGCATTCTGTACGTTTTAAACCTTATCTAAGGTTTTGTTCGCTCTCCTGATTTCATAAGCAGTTTTTATTTATTTATTTTTACAATTCATTTTATTGTTTTGCTGATTATGGAGTCGAAATAAACTTATACTTATACAGAGGTGCGCTCACTAAAAACTCAGAAAGAAGAGAGCGGCGTGCGGGAGAATATACAGAAGGAATATACAGTATGGAGTCGAAATAAACTTACTTATTACAGTATTATACGGTACTTATTTGGGGCAATCTTCCACCTGAAACTAACTGCATGTTTTCAGTAAGACACTGACCTGCTGACTGACTGAAAAAGTATTTCCTAGTGAAATATTCTAATTAGTCCTAATACCCTAAATTATTTTCTTGAAATATCGACTATCTTGTGTTTGATTTACCTTTATAGTAAGTGCAGAAGTGTGTTGTTACCGGTAACTGTATTATAAAACTTGTGGTAAATTTAACTTTTGTGTGTGTATAATTGAAAGTTGCTGTTTTTTTTATCTTTTTTTTTTTACACAAATAACTGCTCTGTCATCAATCTGATGATTATTATGTTAAACTCTAAAAGACATTGTTAATGATATTTTTTAATTATTGCTGAATCTGTGATAATACTGTAATATGATTGCTTCAATATTATTTTTATTTCTCCATGTACGGATGAGTCCGGTACATGTCCAGTGAATATTTAATTACAGAAACTATAATAAATAACTAATTGTAAAAACTAATCTTGATATTTGTTTTGTTTCTCTGGACCTGTCCGCACTTAAAAACTATTGTACGTCGTTGTGCCTTACCTTTTTGTCTTGTGTATTTTACTAGTGTTTTATTTGTATTGTCAATTTCGGGTCTGTTGTCCTAGTATATCGCATCAGTCCTAAAGTGCTGTTATAATTTTTAGGGGTACATGTCGCACATCTGTGTCTTAGGCCAGTAAGGTCTTGAACATGTATCCCGTCTCTGTTATACTGTTTAATTATTATGCAGATACTGTTACATTTTTGAGGCAAACAAACATACTTACATACTTTGTGTGACCCAGGATAAATATGTGAATCCTATCTTTGTTTATATTGCGGAAGTCACCGAACTCGACGTAAATTCTAAATCTTTAATCTAATCTAGAGCTGTCACTAAAATAAAATAAATAATAGCTAAATATTAAGTTATTTCAAGATGGCTCCTGCAGTGAGAAGCCGAGCAGAGATTCGTCTTATACGACTGCTTTCCAGATGTGAAGAGATGGCTGGTTTAAATACACCTGATGACTGGAGACTTGAAAAGTATGTTGGAGCATTAGAGGAACGTCTACAAGCGGTCCAAAAGCTTGATTCCTCGGAAAAACCCAAGGAAGATATCATCAGTGAATACGCAAAGAAAATTAAATTTTTAAAACAACTTTTAGAGACTCAAAAATTACCTGTCACGTCAGAAAAATCTCTCGCTAACCAACTTCTCGTGCCAGCAAAGTCTCGGACGATTCCAACTAATAAAGAATCTCCGACGGGAAAGCAGATTCAAATGCAGGCATCGTCGAGATACACTACGGAAATGCGCGACGAACTCATGCTCACAGAGAAGGAGAAATCAGCCGGAGTGCGCTATAGAGCAACGTCTTCTGGTGGAAGTACGCAAAATGCAGACACTGAAGCTATACTGCAGCATCAACATAAAATGCACGAAAAAATCGCTGACGAAATGGTCGCGTTAACAAGGAATTTAAAACACAACATTATGGCTTCTAACAGAGTTATAAAAGATGATTTGAATGTGATCGAAAAATCTTCTAAAAAAGCTGATCAAAATTACGGCCAACTTCAAACCGAGTCGTCACGACTTGAGAGTCATTTAAAGAAAGGAACGAACTGGTGGCTGTGGATATCTCTTGCTCTTGTCTGCGCTGTGTTTATGTTCATGATATTTTTTATCAGGTTTTTTCCCAAAAGGTACTCTTGATTGTTCATCATTATTATTCTTGTAAGTGCCAATAATGCTATCTCAGGGATGTGCAACATTTAAAACAGGAGGGCCAGATAGATATAACTGGGTGATATCGTGGGCCACACCTAGTTTTTAAGGCATTATTAAGTCATAAGCATAGATGTTGAAAAAACTTGTTTCTCAGGCCGCACAATATTCAAAATTGGCACTTCTTCGTGGACCACACAATTATTTCTAGAGGGACGAATTTGGCCCCAGGTTTCACACCCCTGTACTGCGCCATTGTAGTAAGAATGTAAGCATATGATACAAGTTTTCTCAATATTAAATGTGCATATAAACAGGGATAGCCATTTCGAATACATTCTAAAATAATATTTTCGAATCTGGAATTTTCAATACATCCTAAAATCAGACATACAAATTTTTGTTTTAGTAAATTACGGTAATATTCAGTAAAATAGGAAATAAGCTCCAATAAAAATATCAGAATAAAGCCACAAACCAACAGTATATGGGCTATTCCAAGTGACACTACAGGACAATTCCAGAAATTTTGCATGTTGTTAAATTCAATATATTTTCACATTTTCAGCTACATGTTTTGTTTCATTGTCCAATCAGTTGCTTTATTGCATATGTAAAAAATTGCACAAAAGTTACACCTAACCTTACTTAGTAGATAAAAAAAATATAGTGAAATATAGCGTGACACTACAGGACGGCAAATCCACCATGCACTAACATACGTTGTGTTGAGCTGTAAATTTTTGCGCTGGTACAGTAGGAGCCCATAATATTTTCTGGTGCAGTAGCTGAACTACCCCTCTATGTGTTGCTCAAGTTACTTAATGTAACACTGAAAATCCATGCCAATAATGTGCATATTGTATGTGACACTACACGATGTGACACTACAGGACATTTTTCCACTTCGGAATAGCGGCCTCTATCATCTCTTAAAATTCTGGTAATAAATCGTTAAATGGGTGAAGAAATGTCCTACAGCACCGCAAACATTCAAACTTTATTAACTTAAATCCACTGCGTCAATTTCATATGAAATAACTGTTTCACACAATCAAACACTTTGTGTCAGAATTCATCACAAAATATGTCAATTATACTAAAATTTCTACATTTCAGGCCATTTTTTATAAACCATCAAAATCCTGGGTGAAATATTAAATTGTTCGATGAAATGAATGCAGTCCAATAAAATTCCAATGTCTTTTGATATCAAAAATAAAAAAAATTACTTTCACTACACTTTTTAAAAAATTGATGGAATTCAACTTTTGCTTGGAATGGCCCATATGTACACAAATTATTTGATAGTTTATGCCAAGTTTCTATAGAGAAAGTTAACATTCAATGAAGACGGTTTGAGAGCGATGTCGCAGATGTGTGACGTTACACAAAAATCTGATATTCCCATAAACGTCGATTCCGATATTCGAATGACGAGATATTCAAACTGGCCATCCCTGCCTATAAATCTACTAAACAAGATAATCAAATGCGAGAGGATTGCTTGGCTCCTCACAGGCGTTGGGTGGTTCATGTAACCCGGCCAGTTGTTGATAACTGATAACTGATTATCTAATTCCATCATGGATTGGTAACCGAACGAGTGGACATGGTTTGCCATATGATTGATTTGTCTTATCGGCTTTCCGTGGGATAAATATATTGAAATCTTACTCTAAACCAGGGATGTGCAACCTGCGACTACGAGGAAAAATTGTGTGACCCGTGGAGAAATGCCTATTTTGAATGGTGTGCGGCACGGGAAACGAGTTTTAAAATTCTCAAGTTTAATCTAGTACATGCGAGTAATTCCTGTGCGTTGCAAAGCCTATACCTGAGCTCTTGCGAAGCGAGCACTGCATGTCATCAGATCAATATTGGGGCTGGACATTTTCGAATACCTGATATTTCAGAATCGAATAATTTTTTCGAATCGAATCTCGAATACTTGGAAGATATATAATCGCATGTAACTTTCTTATTGTATTGAACATACAAATTACTGGAAAAGTAAAATACATCACTCAGACAGATTGCTGACGCGCTCACACACAATAAAAAACACATTTTCATCAATAACTCACTAATTTTTGTGCCTGCATCTACTAGAAAGCCTATGGTGAATAAATTTGCTGCCCGCGGTTTTACCCAATTATGTGTATCTGGCGCTCCTGTATTATTAAAGGTTGCACACCCCTGACCTGAACAGATGAAAAGATGCTTAACTGCCTGCCTGTTACCAGTTGCGCCATTAAATATTAAGAATCTGCTTGGTATCTACCCCTGTTATAATGCTTTATTTTATTGCTATTTCTTGGTGCAATTAGTTAAAAAGGTCTTGATGTTTGAATTGTATATTTTTGACATGTTTTGGTGAAGGATATTCTGCATTATTCATATCTTTAATCTGGGGATTCAATAGCATTGAGACAATCTGTGGATATCATTTACCTCAATTCGTGAATCCCTTAATAATCAATAATTTATTTCCGTATTGATATATTGTGATCAATATTGGATTTGTTGGATTAAGTTTCACCTTAGTTGTGAGGTAGGCTGTTCCTCACCTCTCTTTGTTGTATATTTGGAAAGCAACTCATGGATTATGTTTTCATGGTCATAAGCAGTGATAAGGAGGCTCCAGTCCAGGGGTTCCCAACTGTCCATGGCGTGACCCCTTTCCCGAGGTTTTTTAGAGTTTTTTGTAAAAGGAAAAATAAAATCAGTTTTACGCCTAGCATTGTGGCTCCCTTGTGGGCGCTCCAGTGGTATGTGAACCAAGATGGCGGACACCGGAACGTAGCATGTGTACCAGGTTAGGGTTAGGGCATAATTTTATCCCAATTTTTCTTTTTTAGTCCTATTAGGAATTCGGTGACTAGCCAAGTGACTCCTGTAGTATTTGTACCTGAAATTATGGCCTAACCTGGTACACCTACTATGTTACAGTGTCTGCCATCTTGGTTCACATACTACATGACTGTTCCAACTGCTCTAGTCATTGACACTAAGTCACTATTTATAAAAAGAATCAAACGAGATTTGATTTATCTGAATAAACCGACTGCGACACTTTTCCCGAGGTCGACTATTTCCAGACTTGACAGGGTCTATATATGGTCAGGTTCCCCATATGATTATGCCATGTTATTGGATTTTCCCTTGTCTTGAGATACCGTAAATAGCGTATGGAAATCTATCTATACAGACCTACAGAGTTACCTATAGTGCAATTCCGACTACTTTGCCACGGATAGAAAGCGTTGATGCATGACAGGCCAGAATAATTGCATTCTAACATAATGGCATTTATGCTGTCAACTCTCACTTTCTTGATTATCTGGTTAAATTGTATTGAAGTACTGAGCCTCATTATTTTTTCTTTTGAATTATTGATTCCTAACTATTGGTGAAAATTATATAATAATATATTATTTTTGTTTCAACTAAGACAGTTTAATATCTATTTCATTCTTAATTAATAATTTAAAAAATGGAAGAAATAAAAGAAACTATAGAGATTGAAGTCCAACCAACGAAACAACTTACAGAAAAAGAGAAAATTATCGCAGAGCGTCTCGAGATGCAGCGGAAACATAAAGGTCATGAAACCATGCATTTAGAGATGATTTTTATTCTTATTTCGACATTAATTGTGTCACAAATAGCGCTTGTACAATGGAAGAACCGTCACCCTAAATCTTACAACATTGCGACTTTAGTTGGGATGTGGATTATACCGTTAGCTTTCTCGTTACATTATCTTTGGTGGAGATTTTTAACAACATGGGTAATTTTCACTGTCGTTACGGCGTTTGTTGTTACAAAAGCAAGGAAGAAACCACTTCGTGGTACAACGCCAAGATTGGTTTACCAATGGTTTTTAATTTTGTTTCGAATTTGCTACGCTATCGGCGTTTTCGGTTATTTACTGATTGTTTTAACAATGATGGGTGTTAATATGGCATTCAGGATTCACCCTGAGACAGCTATGGATTTTAGCGTCGTTTTGATGTTTTACGGACTTTACTACGGAGTTATGGGTCGCGATTTTGCGGAAATATGTTCAGACACGATGGCTTCAACAATTGGATATTACACAAAGACTGGAATGCCAACAAAACAATTATCTCCGGACGTTTGCGCTGTCTGCGGACTTGTTTTAGTACTTCCCGTAGACGAGGATGACGAAAATACAGAGAAAGTCTACAAATTGTCATGTTACCATAAATTTCACGATTTGTGTATTCGTGGCTGGTGCATTGTGGGTAAAAAGCAAACCTGCCCTTATTGTAAAGAGAAAGTCGACTTGAAAAGAATGTTCACGAGCCCTTGGGAGCGGCCTCATATTTTATACGGTCAATTATTGGATTGGATTAGGTACCTTGTAGCTTGGCAACCTGTTATATTAGGCTTAGTTCAAGGAATAACATGGAGTCTGGGTTTAAAATGAGAAGTTTCCAAAACGATCTTAATTTATTTAGTGCTCTTTAGGAAGTGTATTTTTAAGGATATGAATATTTGGTGACCCTACGTTTGAACCCACGTACATTTGAACCCATGTGTATATCCACGTGTTTAATCTATATGCGGGTGCTAAAACCCATGGGTTAGGGTTAGTGTGGGTTCAACTATCCGTAAAACCAAAAAAATTCCATAGGTGCAATAGCATACAGGTGCAATTGTCATGGGTTCAAATGTACGTGGGTTCAAATGCAATGGAACCGAATATTTAAATAGCAAGTTTTAAATAAAAAATAGTCCAAAATAATAAATTTCTGGAATATATTTTCGACTGTTACCGATTTAGAATATATCTTTGCTTTGCAATTTAAGAGTCCTGCTGCACACTAACACAAATGTACTTTTGTAACGCTTCGTCCGACCAAAATCAGACTTCCTCAGTCAAGCAGTTTACATGCATGGACTTAATGGTGGAGGAAACTGTAATCACCCAACGGTTAGGTGAACCACCCCACGTCGGCGAGGTGTCAAGCAATTCTCTCGCATATAATCATCTTCATGTGGGATTCGAACCGGCGTAGGGTAATCAGAGGCGATCGTATTCCCAACAGTTAGCTCGATACACCACTGGGTTTCTTCAATTTGAGTGCAGAATCATTATATGCATTCACTGTCCAATATCTCCTTATAATACGATATTTATATTTAACACGAGGGTGCTTCTTGTCTTGTTACTGGATGGGAATAGCTTACTAATGAATTTATTTCTTCCTATCTTGATGCAATATTAACCTAATTAGGTCATGCGAGTGCAACTGAATTTCAGAATTTTTTTTATTATGAGGCATTTTAACATCTAAACTCTCTATAAGTAGCAACCGATACATAAGAGGATACTTTTTTTTGAAAGAACTGATTTTTCCTGTTCTGCATTGCCTACCCAATTTATTACAATCTGGGTGGTTACCATGGGGATTGACAAAAGTTAGGCAATTAGAAATTGACATGTAAGAAGTTACTGGCCTGAATTTTTCCAGTACAGCATTGCCTAGCCAATTTATTACCCACTGGGGTTTGAGAAACCATTGTACTCAAGTGAGCACAGATTATCTTATTCTCTATTAATTTATTTTACTCTATTTTAAGTGAATTTTGAATTTGAACCCTGAGTTTCTCGTCCACAATCAAATGTGCTATGTAATTCAAATTTATTTTGTGTTTCACATGTTAGTGTTTAGATATGTTGTGCCTAGGCTGTATTTAATTGACCTTTGACCCCTGACTTTCTCATCCGCAATCAAATTTGCTATGTAAATCAAATTTATTTTGTGTTTCACATTGGGGTTCACATGTTAGTGTTTAGATATGTAGTGCCTAGAATGTATTTTAATAAACTTTGACCCCTGACTTTCTCATCCGCAATCAAATTTGCTATGTAAATCAAATTTATTTTGTGTTTCACATTGGTGTTCACATGTTAGTGTTTAGATATGTTGTGCCTAGAATGTATTTTAATGACCTTTGACCCCTGACCTTCTCATCCGCAATCAAATTTGCTATGTAAATCAAATTTATTTTGTGTTTCACATTGGTGTTCACATGTTAGTGTTTAGATATGTAGTGCCTAGAATGTATTTTAATAAACTTTGACCCCTGACTTTCTCATCCGCAATCAAATTTGCTATGTAAATCAAATTTATTTTGTGTTTCACATTGGTGTTCACATGTTAGTGTTTAGATATGTTGTGCCTAGACTGTATTTTATGACCTTTGACCCCTGACCTTCTCATCCGCAATCAAATTTGCTATGTAATTCGAATTTATTTTGTGTTTCACATTGGTGTTCACATGTTAGTGTTTAGATATGTAGTGCCTAGAATGTATTTTAATAAACTTTGACCCCTGACTTTCTCATCCGCAATCAAATTTGCTATGTAATTCAAATTTATTTTGTGTTTCACATTGGTGTTCACATGTTAGTGTTTAGATATGTTGTGCCTAGACTGTATTTTATGACCTTTGACCCCTGACCTTCTCATCCGCAATCAAATTTGCTATGTAATTCGAATTTATTTTGTGTTTCACATTGGTGTTCACATGTTAGTGTTTAGATATGTTGTGCCTAGAATGTATTTTAATGACCTTTGACCCCTGACTTTCTCATCCGCAATCAAATTTGCTATGTAATTCAAATTTATTTTGTGTTTCACATTGGTGTTCACATGTTAGTGTTTAGATATGTAGTGCCTAGAATGTATTTTAATAAACTTTGACCCCTGACTTTCTCATCCGCAATCAAATTTGCTATGTAATTCAAATTTATTTTGTGTTTCACATTGGTGTTCACATGTTAGTGTTTAGATATGTTGTGCCTAGACTGTATTTTATGACCTTTGACCCCTGACCTTCTCATCCGCAATCAAATTTGCTATGTAATTCGAATTTATTTTGTGTTTCACATTGGTGTTCACATGTTAGTGTTTAGATATGTTGTGCCTAGACTGTATTTTATGACCTTTGACCCCTGACCTTCTCATCCGCAATCAAATTTGCTATGTAATTCGAATTTATTTTGTGTTTCACATTGGTGTTCACATGTTAGTGTTTAGATATGTTGTGCCTAGAATGTATTTTAATGACCTTTGACCCCTGACTTTCTCATCCGCAATCAAATTTGCTATGTAATTCAAATTTATTTTGTGTTTCACATTGGTGTTCACATGTTAGTGTTTAGATATGTAGTGCCTAGAATGTATTTTAATAAACTTTGACCCCTGACTTTCTCATCCGCAATCAAATTTGCTATGTAATTCAAATTTATTTTGTGTTTCACATTGGTGTTCACATGTTAGTGTTTAGATATGTTGTGCCTAGACTGTATTTTATGACCTTTGACCCCTGACCTTCTCATCCGCAATCAAATTTGCTATGTAATTCGAATTTATTTTGTGTTTCACATTGGTGTTCACATGTTAGTGTTTAGATATGTTGTGCCTAGACTGTATTTAATTGACCTTTGACCCCTGACTTTCTCATCCGCAATCAAATTTGCTATCTAATTCAAATTTATTTTGTGTTTCACATTAGTGTTCAAATGTTAGTGTTTAGATTTGTAAAAATTTTTCATAGCAAATATTTTTAGTTTTCTGTTTGTAGTTCGAATTGAGTGCAAAATTCATTATATGCATTGTATTTATCTGTCCTATATTGTTGTTTTGTTTCATTACCCTCTGCGTGTTCCACAACGGATTCGATTGTTTATTCTTCCCACTAACTGGGATGGCTCGGGGACTCCTCTCACTGGGCAACAACAAAAAAAATCTAATTTTAAGCTCAATAATTGTAAAAATCCAACAATAATTGTTAGAGAACATGCCACTTTTAATCCTTGACTAACATTTATCAATTTACGGTTTTATTCTACAATCAATGCGTCCTTCTTACCTCCTAACGTAGCGTCATATGCTATACCAACACCAGTGTTCCCTCAAAGGTGTGCGCGTGTGCGTGCGCACACAGATTTCAGAGGCTGCGCACACGTATAGATTTACTGCGCACAGACGTATTTCGATGTAATGTAACAATGTGCTCGGTTGGCAGGTTGAGAAAGTTTGTTGTTGGCCCACTTATTACCCGGTTAGAACGCCAAAATTTCTTCATTGGTTTTTGCACAAATATTAGTCATTTCCAAAAAAGTGCGCACACACCAAAATTAGAGGGAACATTGACCAACACCACAGTAATTGTTGGGTGCTTAGAATAATAAACAGGAGGGCCATAAGAGCTTAAAGCCGCCTGACCCCATAGAAGGTTAAGAACCACTGGCTTAGCACGATGTGCCAGCTATCAAATCGACATCAGGTCAGGTCTTGTCTATTTTCCATCTGATAGATATTTGTGTGCTTGTAAAACAAATTATATTTTATTTTTGTCAACATCATTATTTATCATTTTACTGTTCTAAGACAAAGTTTAATTTGTTTTATTTATTCTATCATAGAGGTATTATTTATAAAAAAAATAACAGAATGACTTTAGAAATTGAATCTGCTGATGTAATCAGACTCGTGGAGCAATATCTCAAAGAAAGTAACCTGCATAGGTAGGTTACCGTATATCCTTTAATATAAGCCGACCCCCTAAAACGGTAAATTTATGAAAAATTGCCCACCCCCCGATAAGGGCGAATTCATGATTATTCGCATACAAGCTGACCCCTAAAGGCCCAAAAACGACCCAAATTGTTGAATTTATAATAATTTGCATATAAGCCAACCCCCTAAAACGACCCTTGATTGGTGAATTTATAAAAATTGGCATATAAGCCGACTTTACGAATTGTAATCGACGAAAGTTAAATAAACTGTTTCGAGGACATGAATCGAACATGTATTTTTCCCTTTTAATCTCAACAGGTGCTAAAATATACTTCGGATTTTTAAATTACTCCAACTTTTTATTGAAACACTCTGGTGAATATTGCCTCAAACTTAAATCAGTAACTAGCTAAAACGAAGAGCATTTAAATATTTTTTTGAAATTTTAACATGTCTTGGAATATTCAAAACACACGACACCAACATACAGGACAGAAATTCAATTCCAGTTATGTTTGATTTATTTTGGGCATGTCAATTATTTTACCTGTTCATTTTATTATCCCAGATCTTTCATTCAAATTGTTTCAGACCTTATCCCAAAAATTCATTTTGTGATTTCAGAACCCTGGCAACCCTTCAAGAAGAATCCACTATTTCACTCAACACTGTAGACAGCATAGATGGCTTTGTGTCGGATATAAATAACGGACATTGGGACACAGTTCTGCAGGTAAAGCATCAGACTATTCTAAGCTAAAAATCTCTGGTTTAAATCACATGTTTGTCACCAGGGGAATGGTTTTGCAAGTCGGAATCCCCCCTTTTTTGGAATGTAAAAAAGCATTTTTTTGTACCATACATAGCAAATTTTTTATAGCTTGAAACGCTTTTAGATCCTCGGGATTCCCAAAACCCATGTTTTCAGGTCAGACTTGCTAGCTGTTTCATTTTAACATAACTTTGCGATTAGAAATTTTAAATTTTATAAACATGTAGGACTAAAGAATAAGAGTAAAAGGTCAACTCTTCTCGAGCGCACCCTTTGGAAACCGCTGCAATAGTGAATTATTTGATTTTTGCCATCCCTGGTTGATACTAAACAATTAGAGTTGCGACTTTTAGGGAACAGCAATTCACATGCAATTTTTTTCAAATTTATCCAGGCCATACGATCCTTAAAGCTGCCAGACAAGACTTTAGCGAATGATTAAAAAAGAGGGTATTTCGTGTCATACATAGCAATTTTTCATAGCTTAAAACGCTTTTTAGACCCGGAAGATCTTTCTGAGATTTCCATGAGAACAGCCATTCACATGCAAATCTTTTAAAAGGTTTTACCACTCTTTATTCAGGCTATTCAATCCTTAAAGCTGCCAGACAAGACTTTAGTGGATTTATACGAACAAATTGTTTTGGAATTGGTGGAACTACGAGAACTTGGTGCGGCAAGATCTCTTCTCAGACAGACAGATCCTATGCTTGCATTGAAGCATTCACAGCCAGGTTGGAATTAGGGTTATTTTTAATTCATTTTTCATGATCAGAAAAATCTTAAACTTATCGTATATCCTTGCCGCATAAAAGCAGAGTTTAAAACTCAAAAAAGTTGCCAAACTAAGGGGTGAGCTTATACTTGCATAACTCTGATAGATACCACTAAATATTTGTCTTATATGGCAATATCTATGATGGCACTCAAACCAAATAACATTATGCTAATCTAATTCTAACAGCTGCAACTTGAATTTGCTGATAGGCAGGTATGACGTGTTATGATTTGTAGGGTCAGCTTATATGAGAACCTTTCTAATTTCGTAATTTGTAATTTCCTAATTTCGGATAGGGCTCCAGACTAGCAAGACCAGACACTCAGAGGGCTACTATATTTAGGAGGGTCGCGGTCTTTTCATTTTTAGCATTGCCTTGCTAATGTAATTACATCCTGTGCCAGTTGGTATGTCGAAATTTATTTTATTCATTAGTAAATTTTTTAATTTGGGAGTGATTTAGAACATTTTTATATAAAAATTAGGTATTCTGAGCTGTAGGTGCTGTATTTGATATTTCATATTCGAAATATATTCTCAGAATGTATCCGGAATAGTGATACATTCAGTTTGGGTAGAGGTTCCGATATCTCAAAAATTATTAGCTCTCCACATATCCATTTGTACTGAGGCGAGTTCGGAGTAAATGTGTCCATAGAGTAAAAAATGAGCACCTCAAATAGTGTTTTAATTTTCAATTGCATTTTCAGATCGCTACGTTCACCTTGAAAACCTCCTGGCAAGGTCATATTTTGATCCGAGAGAAGCCTATCCCGATGGATCAACCAAAGAAAAAAGAAGAGCCGTGATAGCTCAGTCCCTGGCTAAAGAGGTGAGTTTAAACTGTTGTGTATTTTTGGAAGTAAGATCAGAGAAAGAATGGTCACTGGGTTGACTGGCAATCTTGTTGTTAAGGCTGTTGTGAAAAATCACCTCTACCTATATAACTGGGCTAATTTACCAATCTATCTGGAATTTTGTGTACTTTGAGAAGGTACAAAATGCTAACAGTCTAGGTTTGTCTTAGAGTTATTCGGAAACCGATAAATTTGGTACATATGTCATTCAGTACAATTCTTTTAATAACATTTGGCTGGTATTTTGCTGATATTGAAGTGGCCGTACAAGTCAATCAACAACAGTGTCCCATCCGTATATTTAAGCATTGCACTCTTGTTCATCAGTCTAATTATCTTTCTTCCAGGTCAGTGTTGTACCACCATCTCGTCTTATGGCATTACTCGGCCAGGCTCTGAAATGGCAACAATATCAAGGACTTTTACCTCCAGGTAACACTAGTTAGCTATTTTCATAATTAGTACTATTTTGTAGTTTAATTGAAACTTTAACCTATGGGCATGGGGTGGAGATCGAAGTGTTTTTACTGACTTATTTTAAACTTAGCTGTGCAATGTATTTAACGTGGTGACCGTACATTTGAACCCACGTACATTTGAACGCATGCGTATATCCACGGGTTCAATCTATATGCGGGTGCTAAAACCCATGGGTTATGGTTAGTATGGGTTTAACTATCCGTGAAACAAAAAAAATTCCATAGGTGCAATAGCATACAAGTGCAATTGTCATGGGTTCAAATGTACGTGGGTTCAAATGTAATGGAACCATTTAACGTCACTCTCTTTTTTACCTCTCCAGGGTCAACGATTGATTTGTTCCGAGGAAAAGCAGCAACAAGAGAGGAAGAGGATGAAAAGTATCCGACAATGCTGAATAAAACAATCAAGTTTGGTCAGAAATCTCATGTTGAATGCGCAAGGTTTTCTCCTGATGGACAGTACTTGGTGACTGGGAGGTGAGTACCAGTGGGTACTCCCGTAGTATGTGTACCATGGCAATTACCCTCATATGTTTTATTTTACTGAGCCATAAAATTATTTCACGTCATGCTATGATTAAGGCTTAGTCCATGAGTAATTAGTATTAGCAAGCAGTTATTACCCTTTTCTTAGATTCCCCTTTCCTTAGTTTAGTAACTTCATTATTTTCCTGAGTATTAATCCTTTACATAATATAACTTCGTATTAGGGTTAGGCGATAATTTTATTCAGGTTCTCCTAGTTTAGATTTTAGTTCTATCACGAGTTCGGTATTGTTTGTGTTAGCCAAGTGAATTGCCCGTTGCCCATAGACTTCCATTCTTTTGCACAATTTGATGTAAAGTAGGCGAACAAAATTAGTTACCTTCATTGTGGTACACACACTTCTGGAGAGCCTGTCAGGTTGAAATAGTTGGTATTGGGTTTGGATAAATATATGCGAGAGGATTTCTGTGCAGCTCTTTGTTTCAGGGTGGTTCTCATAACTGCTGGTTTGTTATGGTTGCCTCAAAAATTAAAATTTATCTGTCCAGAACTGCCGGTGTTAAGTGCTGTCTATTTCAGATCTTGCCCTGAAATAAAAATAATAACTGGGCAAGAGACTGTGTATCAACATATACCAGCTTGTCTTATCAGCTTTTCTCTTCCCGGGAAGGGACATGAAACATCACAACCTCACACAATTTCTTTTTTACAGTGTTGACGGTTTTATTGAAGTATGGAACTTCGCGACCGGTAAAATTCGTAAAGATTTACAATTCCAAGCTCAGGACCAATTCATGATGATGGATGATGCGGTTCTGTGTCTTGCGTTCAGTAGAGACAGTGAGATGCTGGCAACTGGAGCCCAGGATGGAAAAATTAAGGTATAATAATAGGGCCTAATGCAGCTGTTCCCAAACTTTTTGTTCACGCTGTGCCAAATCATCACGAATTCAATTATCAATTTTACGATCAATAATGTTTGAGGTTTGAAGTAAACATGAATAAAGCAAAAGGTCAACTGTTCTTCCTCATCTATGCCTTCCTTTGAAATGCTGAAAAAATTACTCATTTTCGCTAAACTTAGTTCAGTGGATAAATAAACGACTGTACTTTGGCCCCTGGTAGGAAAGTTAGAAGAAACAAAAATGGGACCTCCTGAAGTATGCGCACCAAGATGGCGCACAACCTGAAATCCGGTAGTGTACCAGGTTAGGGTTCAGGTTATGCGACATCTTGGTGTGCATACTTCAGGAGTACCCAAAAATGAAATTTTTTAAAAATGCGTTCAAATCATATTATAATACTCAAATTGATCGAAGTAATTCTATATTTAATATGGACAAAAAGTAGTACGGGTATGCAATTTATCAAAGTAGCCTACTTGTAATGTATCGCAGCTGAGCAGCAGATTTGAACTTACGCGAAAGCTGAACCGCTACAAGGAACGAGTGTATTTTTAAATTTCGATTACGTAATCAAAAAAAAACGAATTCCACAGAAATTTTTGAAACAAATAAAAAGTGATAGCTGTTACAATCTTTAACCACTGAAAATTTCAAAGCAATTGATCAAGTAGTGAATAGGAAAAGCGTTTTTTTCACTTTGTGTCCAATAAAATTGTGGCTGAAATACAACTTTCTGTCTTTCAGGTTTGGAAGTTGACTACGGGCCAATGTCTACGTAGGTTTGAGAGAGCTCACACTAAAGGTGTAACCTGTGTTACGTTCTCTAAAGATGGAAGCCAGGTATGGTATTTGATTGAAAAATTGTAATGAATTTTGATAGCAGGGGTTGCAGTCGAGCCAAATGTATTTTTTTCAACCAGTAAAAAAATATCACAAGCACAGATTACAAGAAAATGATAATTTATCCAGTTTTACTGGGGAAGCGAAGCCGCGGAAACCAAACCAAAGCGAAAATGGGTAATAAAGTTGATAATGGGTTTAAAAGCCTGTCATCTTCTATTTGAGGCCTATGTGCTTTGTCATATTGGTGCTCTGCCTTTTCGACTTTCCTAATTTTTATAATCTGACCTTAACAAGACTTGAAAATAAGAGTTTTTTTAAAAAAGTGTTTTCCTGCAAGTTTTGACATGGTTTTTCATTTCAGTTATTTTTGAGGTGGGGTGCGAGACTTGACAAATTCTAAAAAATAGGTTCGGCTTGAAAGTTTGAAAACCAGTGTTCTTGTAATAATATATCTTTCTGTATTTTCAGATTCTCAGTGCTTCGTTTGACCAAACGATTCGAATCCACGGTTTGAAATCAGGGAAATCTTTGAAAGAAATGAGAGGGCATACTTCCTTTGTAAATGAGGCTTTGTTTATCAATGACGGGCATAATGTTATCAGCGCTTCATCAGATGGAACAATAAAAGTAAGATATAAATAGATGAAGAGTTGTATCAATTTGTATTTACTATAATGTGAGCCATGTTTACCAATGATGGACACAATGTTATCAGTACTTCATCAGACGGGACAATAAAAGTAAGATAAGATATAGATGAAGCTAACTCTACCTGTAAATGTAGAATAAGTCAAAGTCAAGTCTCATGCCAATTGGCATTTACTGTAGTGTAATATACCGCTTTAATTCTATATTGCTTCAGCAGATCAGTGATTGCCTGTAACTTTGCTCAGAGATGAGTCTCTTTTACTTCAGTGTATGTGACAGGGGCATAGCCAGGACTTTTCAAATGGGGGGGGGGGGGGGCAGTTCTGAAATTCTAATTGCCAAGTCAGACCATATTCGTTAGCATGTCCAGTTTTTTTGTTTTTTTTTCCAAAAGGGGTTCCCTCGAATGACTTGATACTTGAACAATTCGGTAGTCAACCAAAAAATTGTAGTCATAAATACTGCGGTTCTCGAACACCTGAGCGCGCTGCCGAAATTACGTCACTCTGAACATGCATTTCTACTGTTTTCATTACCATTGTTTTATAGATCGAATAAGTTTTGGTACTCTAACATCAATCCTGAGCAAATTATTTTCGACTACCGTCCTACCGAGGTATCTCACTATGTGTATAATAATATATATAGACCTCTTGGTTCTCAACCTTTTGCGGCGCGTGGCCCCCTTCCGGAGGCTTTTTGCACTCGTGGCCCCCCTGTTAGTCATTCTAAAAAAATTGACGTGTTAGATTGTATTATGTATTTGCGACCTTTTATAGAATGCAAAAACAAACCATGGGTAAAAAATTCAATGCTTTTTAGATTAGTAAACGAAATCTTGCGCTTGGGACTGTCTGACTAGGTTCCTTATATTAGGCACCGCCTTTGATATAGTCAGGTGATTGTACTGTCAACATCAGGACGGTTCCTAGATTTTGCTTTGTTGGTAACAAGATCAAAAAAAATAGATTCGCACAGATAGGTTGTGGCAAATTAAACCAGCAATGAAAAAGCTTTCTTACTAAGTAGTAGGTAAGAATCGCAAAGGAATAACCAAAAACTCGAAATGTCTTCGTTGCTTGATTTCAAAGCAAACTTGTTAGCATAAATCGGCAGCCATGTCATCAATAAAGCCAAAGCCAACGCAACTGTCGTTCCATTTGTGGATCAGGAATTTACATATAGGCTTCTGCAGTTATAACATGATATCGACTGTTATCTCGCAGTCTCACGATACTGCCCATCTGCTGTTAGATGGCCTACTAACAAACTATTCGGATTGGTAGATTCTAAATTCCATTATGCTCAAACAATTCGCACACACAAAAAAGTGAATACACCTAGTGACTGAAGTAATAAAACTGAGGTGAACGGGGAATTTTCTTTTAAATGAAAAGAATGCAAACGAAGTCGCTTTATATTAAATTACTAGCCTTGTGTCGTGGCCCCCCTTGAAATGCTTCGTGGCCCCCTTGGGGGGCCACCGGCCCCCGGTTGAGAACCACTGGTTTAGAACATTAGTAATAACTTGCATTAGCAATTTTCTCATCATAAATTTTTCACTTTTTATTGAGGATTTGTGATCCTTTCTAAACAAACATGTATTTACAAACATGTAAAAAATATTTTATCTTCCAGGTTTGGAGTGTGAAAACGACCGAATGCAGCAACACATTCAAGTCATTTGGAGGAGGCCAGCAGGATATCACTGTCAACAGCGTCCATGTCTTGCCGAAGAATTTAGAACATTTTGTCGTTTGCAATCGATCTAATACTGTATCAATCATGAATATGCAGGTAAAGCTTCCCCAATGGTTCCTGGTTTTAGAAATCTTTATTCCTTCCTCACTCTGTACTGTTGGGAAGCAGGGTTTTATGGCTGATTGGAGAATTCTAAAGTATAATAAATTTGGTTCACAAACCGACCAAAAAAGGTTATGGTTCTTTCTCAAAATATTGTACTTCCTGACGGAGGCTTACCCAAGAGGGGGTTTGTGAGTCGGAACCCCTTTTTGAAATGTAAATTTTCTGTCACACATAACAATTTTTGGTAGCTTGAATTGCGTTTTACTTGGACCCGCTAGCGGTTTTGGTCCAGTTTGGCAATTAAAAATTTCAGACCTCCAGTTTGAAAATGCATGACTACCCCCCGCCTCCTAATGTGGTTAGTGGAGGCCTATTCGAAGCCTTGTTTGCAGTGAAGATGTGAAAACCATCCATGCTTAAATCTGTATAAAAAATGCCTTTGAGCACAACATTTTTAGAAGAAACCTCAGAACGAGGCTCCTGTTTGGGAATTCAACGTAAAACCTTTATTTTCCAGGGCCAAATTGTCCGTTCTTTCAACTCTGGTAAACGAGAGGGGGGAGATTTTGTCTGCTGCACTGTTTCACCAAGAGGAGATTGGGTGTATTGTGTTGGTGAAGATCAGGTAAGGTTCTAGGCTAAGCTGAGGAGTTTCGAGTTTGGCATGATTTTTTTTACACAGTCGTATTTTTGTGTAATATTTTGTCATGTTTTAATTTATATCTAAATTAGAGCCGCAACTTGAATGAAATTCTTTGCAGTTGACTTTAGCATGTTCTCATTGATTATGGAGTCGGATTTTCGATTTCCTTGTGTCTTAGAGGCTTGGACAAAGGGCTCTTTTTTGGAGGGGCAATTTCACAACTCTTTTGCTGTGCAAGAACTCAAAATTTCATGTGCCTAAATGTTCAATAAATAAAAATTCGCATTGTTAAAATTTTTTAATTTGTTGTACATGGAAAATCTTAATTCCTCATCTGGGCTGGTTAGTATGTGGCTATATAGCCCACCGACAAAATGTTGTTGCTCTAACGCTAGGCTTACCATATTTCTGAAGCAAAAAACCGGGACGGCGCGGACTGGACAGTTCAACCTTGGTTCGATTCTAGGGGCCCAGTATTAGTTTAAACGCTTCCCATATCAAATCTACGGGCATCAAAGTTAACTGTGAATCCTCTATTGGTGTTTGATTCAAATAACGGAAATCGTTTAATTTAAAAGACAACTTTCACTTTGTTTCTAGCATTTTGATGATTCAACCACATTACAGTTGGGTGGTAAATTAACAAACACACAGCTATGGCATAACAATTTTCCCTCTATCTGAACTAGTGAGGTGAAACGCAAATCAGTGGTAAATCGGCTGCCTACGTTACAAAAAAAAATTGTAATAGTATCAAATAGGAAATTTATTCATGACTGCCGTTCCGCAAAACCAGGACATTTATTAAGTCTTTCGCCGGGACGGCAGAAAAACATGCTAAAACCGGGACTTTCCCGGCTAAACCGGGACGTATGGTAAGCCTATCTAACGCTAACGTTTAATTTCCTGCAGGTGCTGTACTGTTTCTCTACAAATTCTGGTAAGCTGGAGAGAACATTGACCGTGCATGATAGAGACGTTATTGGCATCGCACATCACCCTCACAACAATCTCATCGCTACATACTCAGAAGATGGCTTACTCAAGTTATGGAAGCCATAATTTAAAAGTGGAAGCTGGAAGGAAATTGAATATTAGCTTTCGTTATATGGGATTCTGCTGCTTTAGCACGTTGTTCCCAACCTTATTCACGGCACTAAACCTTTTAATGATCTGCCCAAAGTTTATTGTAACAAACTCTGAAGATGGCTGCACAGCTATGGAAGCTATACTGATCTTAAAAATCAATTCTTAAATGAAGGACGACACTCTTCATGAAATCCAAATCCAGCTAATTTCAAAAACTGTGCGGCCTAAAACCCAGCTTCCAAATAATTGATAGCGAAATTTTAATAAAAAAAACGTAAAAGCAGGTTCGCCTGCTATCAAACTTTGTGATCAGGGTCTAAAGACATCTCTTTTTCTATGAAAAAACTTGTTTTTAATGAATTTCCGTCAGTTGTTTATGCACATTAAATAATAATGCTGACCATGGCCTATCTACTTTGAGTTAGTGACCCCCAGACAGCCACTTTGTTGCCTTCTACGGGGCTGAAAGGCACAGTTTGAAAAAGTCTTTCCTAAGCGATTATAGTCCAGAAAAGACTTTTGACGTTGGAAATCCCTGAATCTTATAGAGTACATTTGATTTTTAGAAATGACCTGGATTTGGTAAAATATAGGAACCTCATGAAGTATGCGCGTAAGGTTAAGGTTCAGGTTGTGCGACATCTTGGTGCGCATACTTCAGGAGTACAGACCTGCATACGATCGATGATTGTGCATTATTTGCCAATGTTTCACAAAGAAACAAAAACTACTCAAGATCATGAGAAATTGGGCTTCTCTTTTTTTTTCTTGTTTTTATCTATTTGTAGAATAAATTCAATCGGTAATGCCTTTTGTGTGTGTTTAGCGAACCTAGTGTTAGGATAATAATGTGCGCAAGTATCTCTATCTATCAACGGTTTTCAACATTTTTGAGCTTGGCAAAGATGATACAATTTACGCCACAGGAAGACAGCTCAATCGCGAGCCATGGCCTCTCTCTCGTCTGGCTGCCAATCATTGTCAGATATGGGATTAGTTTGCCAGTTACTCTGTTTTCAGAAGCATGGAATTAATTGATGGAGGAAGCCGTAAACGGCGAGGAGTCAGTCAGTTCTCTCTCTCACATAATTGTGGTGGTCAGTTACTGCTTCAAGTTTCATGCAAAAGGATCGACTGTCTGACTGGCAAACTGTTAGTTAACATAAACTTGCTAAACTGACAAAAAAAGGTCGCGATTTGCTACGTGATTGAGCCGTCCTATAATTTTTACTCCCTCAGATAAAAATTGAACTATGAAGAACATACATATATATATATATGGTTTCTTATAAGGTATAATATTCATTCAATTTTATTTTGGTCACTCTTGACATGAAACAAAACAACAACAAACGGACAAATAAAAAAATGCAGTGATACCAGGAAAATCTGTATAACTTTGAACGAAGTTAAAAGTGTACGAGTACGCTCTCCGTCCAACAAAGACAGTTACAGCACACGATGAAATAAAAATATAAGACCCTTTTACCGTGTTGACCCGAAAATAATATAGTCAATAACACAAATTTTTTTTTACCTAATCGATAGCAAGAAATCTCTCCCATACGTTTTAAATGATTAATCTAAACCGTGTCATTTTAAGTAAATGGATATCGGTTTTTATATTTGAAAATCTCCAAAACATTGTACCCTTCAATTTTGTTTTTGATAAATATAAGTATAAGACATCCCCCGAAAATGAACCCTAGTGTTATTTTTCGAAAGAAAATTGACTAAGACACCGTCTTATTTTTGGGGGAACACGTTCAATACTTGTATCACAGACTGTAGCACGACGCAGTAACAGTCTTTCTTGTGAATGTGAGTGGGTTTATGAAGTTTTTTAATACTTCCATCTCACAATAAATATTCTCCTAATTTCAAACCAGGTTGGCATCAACACGGTCTATTTTGAGTTATTGCTTCAACAAGCTTATGGCGGATAGATGAGCCTAGTCGTCCACCTCCAGTCACATCGAGTATTTGACTCGAATCCTGGTAGAGTCCACCCAGCACTGTTACAGTCATGAATTTGTGTCATCTGGTATTCGTTCTACAATCCAGTTTCTAAGCATCAATAATTCTTTGAAACCAATCTCATGAAAATATTTAAACTTATGAAATTGACCTTTAACCCCCAAGGAAGTTAATTTTTGAAATGTTTTCTTTCCCCACTCAAACAATACAAGAGGATCTTTATTTCCATGAGCCATGAATAGTTCTGGCATGGAGTTTTCAGTTTTTTGATGTTCTAATATTGAATCATAGACAGTAGATTCAGCACTGAGAAATGATGACAGAGCAAATACTCCTCCAAGATCCAAATGATTTCGAAAACCAAGATGAAGCGCCATTGAACCTCCCATTGAGAATCCTCCAACAAGGATGCGAGATGGAGGTATTCCAGCATTCACCTCTGCCTGGAAAATAAAACTTAATAATAGATTTTGGCACTGATTTTGTATTTATACCAGTGGTAAGGAAAATTGACTCGTATTGTAAAACACGAACTCTCACCTGATTGCCAGTCCATGTTGGGTATGGTAAGAATAATTCCCAAATTTACTGCTTCAATTAGGACTTAGCTTTATACAAGATACGAGTATTTCAAACTTCACACTAAGTGTTAGTAACCCGCTTGACATTGACCCAATGATCAGTCTGTATTCTGGTATTTGAGTTCTGGAGCTGTGGATAGGATAGGAGGATAGGATTTACATTTATTATCCCGGGGAGAGGAAAGCCGATAAGACAAGGGCTTATCCATATGGCGAACCACGGCCTCTCGTCCGGTTACCATTCAAAGTCGGGTATGGGATTAGTTTTACTGTATTGTTTGTTTTCGGAAGCATGGACTTGGTGATGGAGGAAGCCGTAACCGACCAGCGGTTACGTGAACCACCCAACGACGGCGAGGAGTCCAGCAATCCTCTCGCACATAACCATCCCTGCATGGGATTCGAACCTTGCGTGCAGAGTAATTAGAGGTGCGGTGGCGAGCGTATTCCTAACGCTTAGCCCGTTGAGCCACACCGCCGCGCCATGTGTTTTCGAACCTTTGGGTCGCAAGCCAAAACTGGGTCGCTTGAAAAAATGGTTGGAACCACCGTGCTAGAGGATTCCTGTACTCCTCAGTCCTCACCATTGCAAAGTGGTTCATTGAACCACTGAACAGATATGGCTTCTCCCATAGAAAATCACGAGTAAACTCTGCTCATACCTGACACGCCAATTATTAAATTTAACCTCTATAAATGATTGTCTTTATTCTCTACATTCAAGGGATTCTGCACTAAACTAGAGGCAAATGGGTTGGATATGTCATTCCAGTAGTGTGAGATTTTTTAGCGAGTTTTTCAATAAAATTGAAAATACGAATTGAAAAAAATATGAAAGAGCCACTGCAAATATTGAAAATAATACCTGAATCAGTTCTGTCAGCTTGTCCGACATTTCATCCACAGATTTTGCAATTTCAGGAGTATCGTAAGATATTTTGTGGCGGTCATACCAAACGTTACTGATTCTACCGTTCATTGGGGTATATGGCTGAGGTGGTGCTGTTGGATATATAACCTAAATTTTTTTAGACCCTTTTAATTTATTTGTTAGAAACAGGGGCGTAGTAGCCAGTAGAGAAATTCTGAAACGGCTGGCGAAGCTAGAAAATGTGGGTTTTAAGAGTTTCGAGGTTAGTCTCTAATCTCACAGTTTTTTTATTTTCAATAAAAACATCACTTTTTATACACATGATAACACATAAATACAATTGCACTCAAAAAAATGAGATTATGATAACTTTCCACATTTTTATGTGGTTCGACAGTTTACATTTTACATTTTCTAGTTGCAATACTTTTTTCACAGTTGTACACACTTTTTATCATATATAAAATTGGTCTAATCCCAGAGTTCCGGATCAAGTCGCGCAAAGGTCAACAGAGTCTACAGTTGAGCATTCCCAACACTGCCCTGAATCACCTCTTGTCTCAGAGAACGCACTATTTTTTTTTAATACAATTTATTTTGTTTAAATTCATTTTTTCATCAAACTCTGCTAGGCACGTCAAGTTCGTGCTTCCGAAAACACCTGGCTAATTAATCCCATACCCGACCTGGACTGGTAACCGGACGAGATGCCGTGATTCACCATATGATTAAGCCGTCTTATCGACTTTCCTCTCCCTGGGATAAATATGTTAATCCTATCCACGTACCACTTCATTAATTTAGATTCTTTGACAGCAATGCATTAATTCTTTAAACACAGCAAATAAAGTACCTGTCAGAATCCAATAAAAATTAAAATAACATTGCAGGGGGCAAACAGATAAAAAAAGTTTGAGAACCGCTGCCTTTTTAGCCTCACCCACCTTAATATGGTTAAAATTAAACCCCTGTTTATCTCCTGTACCATCGAAGCAGTCAGCAATCCAGCTCTGAATTCCGACACCTGTGTCCCCAGAACCATGAAGAAATATTAATGATGCTGTGTGCCGACCTGGAAATTAAAAGCATATGTTATTTACAGATTTAGAAGAAATATAAAATTTGCATTCATTCGTGTAGACCAGTGTTTCCCAACCTATAGGTCAAGACCCCAAAGTGGGCCGCATTTTTTTCGACAAAAATATTGTCAAGTAAATTTTATTGTTTATTATATATTTAATAATGTAGCGTTGGTCAATAATGATTTTCGTATGTGGAAAATATCACAGCATCTCCTTAAATCAAGGGTTCTCAACCTTATTTCTGTCACATACAAGACCCCTCCCCCCCCCCCCCCCCCCCCAGTCACGAAACAATCAACGGGAACCCCCGTAATCAGGCATCGAACTAAGTTGTGATATATTGACTAACAATCTGTTGCAACAACAATTTATTGACCATAATGTAACTAAATTTAATATTCGCGTTGATATTATTGCCCTTGTCGTCTGCCTAGCTAACGAATTTTTAAAATCTTTCCCAAGTTTCAATAAGCATAATCGCTTTCTCCAATGCTCGCAGCACGCTGTCTTAGAAATTTCAGTTTGCCTGCAAAGCCTTAAATTTCACATTGTTGCGACACAATCACAACAAAGCAAGATCAATGAAAATCTACGTTTCAATTGGCACGCATTTTTCTCTGGTAGCAATTAAAGATATTAAAAACAGCAACACACAAAAACTCGATTGCCTTCCAAGTACCTAAGGGGGTTCGTGAATCCCTGGCTTAAATATTAAACCCACGCCATTCCAAAAACTCACTGATGGGAAACAACTATCAACTTTGAATTACGGTAATTTCTGTTGGGATAAATATTATGTAAAAATGACTGGTTTGTTGTTGCCATTCAATTTTGCAGTCATAAGCAGACCATCAATGGGTCCCAGGATTTTTTGGCAGCTGACCCACTGTTGTAACCCACTTATCATTTTTAACCCACATAATATTTAGGCGCGGCGGTGTGGCTCAACGGGCTAAGTGTTAGGAATACTCTCGCCACCGCACCTCTAATTACTCTGCGTGGGTTCGAATCCCATGCAGGAATGGTTATGTGCAAGAGGATTGCTGGACTCCTCGCTGTCGTTGGGTGGTTCACGTAACCGCTGGTCGGTTACGGCTTCCTTCACCACCAAGTCCACGCTTCCGAAAACAAACAATATAACTAACTCCATACCAGACTTGGAATGGTAACCGGACGAGAGGTCCTGGTCAGCCATATGGATAAGCCGTCTTATCGGCTTTCCTCTCCCCCGGGATAAATATGTAAATCCTATCCTATCATGTGCTCCAAATGCTCAAAATACATTAGCGGAAGAAGTTGTTACTGACTAGCAGATATTATCGGCTCCACAATATAAATCTATTTTTCTATAGTATAAATGCAGCAGGCGAGTTGGATTCTTGGACCCAATTATGTTGGAGCGGGTTACCAATCTGATAATCTGCCCACCACTTAAACTAGGGTGTAACAGATAGATAAAGTGCTTTTCGGAGTGAAAGCGCCAAATAACAAAGAAAATTCTTACCTGCAGGCATCACAATAGTCCTGTGCAGCATTTCTGTAGGAATCCAACACAACTTGTTATGAGAAGTAACTTTGCACTAATACCTCTAGTAAAAATGTAATGTAAATGGTAAGTTTTTAGAATAATAGAAAGGTTAGAAGGTACTTCTGAAGTATGCGCACCAAGATGTCACACAACCTGAACCCTAACCGGGTACACAACCTGAGTTCAGGTTGTGCGCCATCTTGGTGCGCATACTTCAGGAGGTCCGGTTAAAATTGTTGTGATTACCACCAAGATCACGAGTTGGATTTGTCTACCAGACTGGAATATTTACAGTCTTTAATACAGAGGTTCTCAACCCTTTTTCTTTCATGGCCCACTTTTGTAGCACAAATATTCTGTGGCCTATTAACTTTTCCATTCAAGTATAAAAAAAAATAAAAATTATTTTCGCAAAAATAAAAACACTACCACTTTAAAATAGAAAGAAATTCCCACACTGTAGGAAAATCAAATTTATCAACAACTCTAGCAATTTTTAATAGGTTTGTGGGCCAGTGCTCTAATATATTTTGAAATGATCTTTTTGAGTATTAAGGTTTGGGGATATCTTATCAAACAGTTTTTCGCCATTCCAAGATTAACAGGGTGGAAAGGATCTTCATATGATCACAGGTGGATCTTCAGTTGAATTATATCATAAATTGAAATTACGCTAAACAAGGAAATTCGCACAAATAACACAGGGCTGTTGAATTTAGTAAGTTTTCATTGAAGCAGTTTTTCAAAAACCACAGAGTAGAAATCTCAGACTTTTAATGGTGATAATCAAACCAAAAATTGTCTATAGTAACTGAGAATTAATGCCACTAACAATCCTAGAGATTTTAGAGTTTTCATTTTCATCAATTCAACGTTAATTAGGTATGTTTCATGATCAACAGCCCAGGTTTGTAGAGATTGAAGATAAAGTAAAAATTTTGAAGGTAGTAGAGGGTAGGAGGTAGTTCGAAGTCAGAGGTCAAATAAGAAAATAATCAGATGTCAAAAACGCCACACACAAAATTTTCTAATGAAAATATGTTCTAAATAAAATAAAAAATGTACTATATCGATTATAAGCAGAAGTATCTGAACCGCAAGAAAAGGTTATCAGTAGGGCTGGGAATGGTTAACCGATTTCAGATCGTTCACGGTTATGATTTATTTTAATCGTTAACTGCAACCCGGGTACAAATCATATTTATAATGTCCAATTTTTTCAAAAATGATTACTTAATTTAAGAGAATATCTTCAACTGTATTGGTAATTACCAAACAAATGTGAAAAATAATTGAAGTATTAATAAGATTGCTGATTATGAAAATTGGACAATGACTAATTCAGAATCAGTTTTCGGTCGAAGTACCGTATATTGTTCACGATTTTATTGCAGAATCGTATATTTAATGTCTTCAAACAAGTGCGCAGTTGATGCTGTTTTTTATTATAATATCTCAAAGTGGAATTTGTCACATAAATAGGATTTAATAACGGAATCGGGTTTTACCAAAATACTTCCATATATATGCCAGAAGCACGCTGCATATTTCTTGCAGCAGAGCGATCATGAAACTAACTCGATTCATAAAAATTTTGAGCGATACCAGGATAAGATCACACGAAATTGTGTTGTAAGCATTGTGGCGTAACAAGTTGAAATTATAAATTATTCCGTGAAACGTCACGATGCGGTTAATTTTACCCGGATAACCGTTAAAGTTACCCTGAAATTCCCAGCCCTAGTTATTAGAGCCTTAGGTCGAGTCAATCAATAGAATCATGATTCCATTTTACTTTGCCTCCGAATCGACTCAGGCATAAGCTGATGGCTACAGGTTGATGGAGGTTTAAACAGCTTTCGACTCTGTCACCTTTATTGATAGACTTATAGGAACGCGTATAAAAAAATCAAATTTGAAAATATATACTGTGGCGAGATCTTGACAAAAATTGTGAATTAGACTTGAAAACATACCGAACTCAGACTCGACAGCCTTAGTCCACAGAACTAATCAACTGGTTCAAGTCCATGCATCTGACGCTGATTAATGGCTAACTAATTCTACATGGAGCAAGGACCGGCAACTGGACGAGAAGTCATGGTCTTTATTCCGGGGAGAGTAACGCCGATAAAATCGTTTAATCATATGGCGAACCACGGCCTCTCCTTCGATTACCAGTCTATGTTGGGTATGGGAGTATGGGACTAGTTTGCGAATCATTTATTTTCAGAATCGTGGACTTCTTGTCAGCACGTGGTCTCTCCCCTGAGACAAATATGAAAATCTTATTCTACTTTTTTCAGTTTGATAGGTTTGAAAATTATTCCTTCCTTTATTACATTCAATAGATTCATTCCACTTGGAGAGTTTCCAAATTTGACTTCGCTTTTCACAGACTTTGTACTAGAAGTTATGGAAGAAGGGATCGCGTTATTTATTCCACTTTGAGAGTTTCCAACTTTGCCTTCACTTTTCACAGACTTTGTACTACAAGTTATGGAAGAAGGGCTCGCGTTATTTATTCCACTTTGAGAGTTTCCAACTTTGCCTTCACTTTTCACAGACTTTGGACTAGAAATTATGGAAGAAGTGCTCGCGTTATTTCCATCTTTTCTTTTTGATCCATGTTCAGACTGCATATGGCGGTCCAAATAATCTTTATATATATAACTTTCATTACAAATTTCGCATCGAATTTGTTTTCTTGAATGACAGTTTTTGTGCATGTTCAAGGCTGGTTTAGTTTTAAAATCTGCCCCACATATTTCACATGGATATGGTCTTATATTGCTGTGACAGACCATATGATTATTGAAGTTTATTCTACGACAAAATGAGATTCCACATGTTAAACAAGTATGATTTTCCAGGTTTTTTGGGCGATTCAAAACATGTCTTTTCAAAGTTGCCTTTAGAGAAAACTCCATTTCACATAGTTCACATTTGTATGGTGCTTCGTGATTAGCAATATGATTACGTAATTTATATCGATACCTAAAGCTTTTCCCACATAATTCACATGAAAACGGTTTTTCATTTGTATGTATTTTCAAATGATATCTCAACCGCCAAGCACCTTCGAAACATTTCTTGCAAAATTCACATTTAAATGGTTTTGTGTGGATACGTTGATGGGAATCCAAAGCTCGCTGGTTCACGGACACTTCTCCGCAAATCTTGCAGACAAAGCGACTATCATTGTCATTACTTGCTATTTCGTGACGTCTTGGTTGACTTTTACGTTTTATTCTTCTTGTGTTTTTTACTCTTTTATTTCCGAAGATTTTTTCAGTTTCATCGACATTTTTCACAATGTCTGCCAATGAATTGCTGTAATGCCTTTCATATATACTTCTTTTCATCGTAGGATGTTTCAAAGTTTTTTCAGTTTCATTGACATTTTTCACAATTTCAGAAGAGTGTTCATCCTGCACATTGTCCAGACCTTCTAGTGATTCAGTTTCTACTTTTGCCTTCTCGAATAATTTTATATTATTCAAAGCGTTTATGGATGTTTCAGTAACCCATCCCTGATCAGTATCTTGTTCAGGATTTTGGGTTTCATCCATTTTTAAATCTAGTTAAAAACTTATCTGCAATGAATACAAAAAGAGAGGAAAACTATCATCAACTAGACAAGCATTTAAAAAAATGTATTGCACATGCAACCTTTCGGATGATTTGAGAAATAATAGCCTAGTGCTGTAATGAAAAACAAGGATGTGTACCGTAACCTTGTGGGCTGTTGGTTACTGGTTTGCCATCTCATAAAGGCTGAAGTGATTTCACGATACCCATGTGTAAAAACGCAGATTCGCATCTAGTAGTAGCACATCGTCATTAATATTGTAGCTGCGGATCAACGGGCTAAGCGTTGGGAATAAGCTCGCCACCGCACCTCTAATTACTCTGCGTGGGTTCGCAGGTTCGAATCCCATGCAGGGATGGTTATGTGCGAGAGGACTCCTCGCCGTCATTGGGTGGTTCACGTAACCGGTGGTCGGTTACGGCTTCCTCCACCACCAAGTCCATGCTTCCGAAACAATAGAACTAATCCCATACCCGACTTGGAATGGTACCTGGACGAGAGGCCGTGGTTCGCCATATGGATAAGCCGTCTTATCGGCTTTCCTCTCCCCCGGGATAAATATGTAAATCCTATCCCTATCCTGCATGTCGTAGCTAATACAGTACCGGACTACCGAGAGTTCACTAACTGTTAGATTGGGTAAAGATCGATGTACCGGAAATTTGACACCTCCTGAAATGTTAGTACATTTTTTAGAAATAATTTCATAACTTAGCAGCTCACAAGCCATTGGTTCGCCTTAATACTTATCGATCTAGCGACGTGTATCCTTCGCTCTAACTCAATAGCGACACTGCGTGTCCATCACTAATTATTCAATAACTCGCTAATTATACGATATTATTCATCCAAAATCAATAGGCTTCTGGTCCGAGATATGATGAATGCACATGCAAAATTTGGAGCAGATGCAACCTCGCTTCCGTGAGATATCGCGTGTATTTAACAGACAAATACCTACCAATCAAGATCGATAAGTAATGATTCAAACATTCAACAAGAATATCGGTCAGAGACTGAAGACTTATCGATCGGAAGTTAGGGGATCCACCAAAACAGCGCTCTTACTCCATAGTGCAGTGACACCTTGTGTCTCATCACTGATTAATTAATAACACGCTAATTATACGACATAATTCGCCCAAAATCAATAGGCTACTGGTCCGAGATATGATGAATGCACATGCAAAATCTGGAGCATATTCAATCTCGCTTTCGTGAGATATCGCGTGCATCTAGCAGACAGAAATGTATGTTGATAAGTCTCCAGGTATGGAACATTTTATTGAAATGTATCACCAGTAAAAATAATTCTTGCTAAATAAGGTCATATAATAATGAATAGCATAGTTAAAAAGAGAAATCACAAACGGAATTGATGAATAGGTGCTCCTGAAGTATGTGTACCAGGTTAGGTTTCAGGTTGTGCCCCATTTTGGTGCACATACTTCGGGAGCTCTGATAAATACATTGCAAAAAGGCAAGTGAGAAGGAACAAGTGATAAAAATATTTGGCGCATACGTACAATTATTTCACTTAAAATATCAGGATGAAATTAAAAGATAATTTCCTTTGAACTCACATGCTAGAAAGAAAATATGAGTAATCAATAGATTGGGCAAGTAAGATTTCGATACTCCAAAATGTATTATAATTTATAACCAACTTATCCAGGAGCTTGTTCTCAGATAATACATTATTAGCACGCACACAATCTAAAATCCAACAATATGGCAATCGAAAATATGATGCATATAAGTTACAAAATCAATCAGTACATTAATTCGTATGTTCTGGATTAAAATAGGTGAAAAATCAAGACAAAAAATAAGAAATCAATCAGTACATTAATTGGTATGTTCTGGATTAAAATAGGTGAAAAAATCAAGACAAAATAGTAAGGTGTAAAGTGGGATTGATATAAAAAAGACTTACAAAGGGTGTTAATAATAACCTTCAACCTCAAACACACAGAATTAATAATCACAATTACCGTTTATATAAAATTGTTTCAGTGCATAAAAGACACAAACTCAAAAGATTGTAATAAAATATTCAAAAACAAGCAGCTGTCTAGTAATATTAAAGAAAGAAAAACCTGAAAAATGGCGGTCCATTCTGAATAAAATATTTAAACTGTAAATTTTAAAACATTGCACAAGTATATGCTGAAACTACCCTACACATTATGTGTATCAGGTTAGGTTTAGGGCATAATTTTATTCCATTTTCCTTATTTTATCGGGGACTGTCTGTATTAGCCAAGTGAATACACCCCCTGACCATATGTTTCAGTCCCTTTACACAACTTGATGTGGAGTAGGCGAACAAAATTAGTTATCTCCATATTGGTAGACATACTTTTGGAGCGGCCGTTACGGTAATTATAACCTTGTACACATAAATTCAGGAATGACAATTAAATATAAAATGGTTTTATTATAAAATGTTTCAGTGGGTGAAAGGCACCAACTCAAATAATTTAAAGACGTGAAGTGCTACTGTCTAATAATATTAAAGATAGAAAAACTCAAAAAATGACAGTCCATTTCGGATGGAAAAATAAACTATGAATATTAATAACTCAATAATTATCAATATAAACATTAAAATTTGTAAATCCCTAGTGCATAGAACTGTTTATTGTCACAATCAGCATAAAAATATGGGTGCTATCACAGGTAATCAATATTCTGATGTTATTGAGTTTCGGATATGTTAGTAATATTGATTTAAAATTGAAAAAGGAGAGGGGAGATAGTAACTGCATCAGGGGCATTTGCAGTTCATAGCCTCCTACTGAAATGTAAAACAAGAATATCGGTCGGAGACCGAAGACTTATTGATCGAAACTGCGGTCCCAATTCATGACTCTATAGTGACACCACGTGTCCCATCAATAATTAATCAATAACTCGCTAATTGCTAATTATATGACATAATTCATCCAAAATCAATAGGCTTCTGGTCTAAGATATGATGAATGCACATGCAAATTTGGAGCAGATTCAACCACATGTTTGTGAGATATCGAGTGAATCTAACAGACAGACAAACAGACAAATACCTATCAACATAATTACCGATCAAAAGGTCGATGAGTAATAAAAGTATTTTTCTGTATCAAGCAATTATTGTAGCTTGAAATGCTTTTTAGAAGTATTGAAAACCCAAGTTTGCCGGCCAGACCCTCTTGCTGTTACAATCCAACTTGGCAATTAGAAATTACAACTCCCCCCTTTGAATATTCCTGGTTACGCCCCTGGCTTGACAAAAAAAAATTATTTTACATCAGAGAGAGTTGATCACTTTTCTCTATACCTTGATGTGGTTCGGAACTGTGACGGATTGCATACCCGGACCACTGCGTGTCCATATATTTGAGCATTGCTCTCTTGTTTTACATTAAAGGGCATCCACTGCTCTTCTCTATACCTTGGTTAATATCATGTAATGCATTTGCAAGTTTCAATGCCTTTCTGGACGCCTCACAAGCCCAAACCCACTCTGTGGGAATGAATTCGACCCCATAATAAGCCCCAGCTATTGCTCCTGCCATAGAAGCTATCGTGTCAGAGTCATGGCCAACAGCTGCAGCTGATATAACACAACGCACCATTCCATTGTAACTAGATAACTCAGGAATTTGGTTTCGATTTAAAGTGTATAAAAAGAAAAATATCGCAGCTGGAACTGATTCAGTGGCACGTACATCCGTCCCGAGTTTTTCAATTATCTCCCCAGGGGAAGCCCCATTTTCGGCTTTCAATAAACCAACTACACTTTCTATTTTTTCTTCGTAAATTACCAACTCTTCTTTAGCCGGAGTGACTTCTTTCAGCTGTGCAATCAACTCGTGACAGAATTTTTCAGTGTCTTCAATTTTTCCCGATGTCATAGCTTTTTCAATCGCAAGTGCCTGAAGTACAGCACCATTAATACCCTTCGGATTTGAATGAGTAAGTCTTGATTGGTCCGCAGCAAGAGCCACCATTTCAGGGATATTATCGTGGTGGAATAACGTGACGGGAGACACACGCATTGCAGATCCATTACCGAACGATCCCGTTCTCATAAATTGTTCGCTGGCCGCTCTATAAACATCATGTTTGTATTCATCGATTCTTCGTTTCCGAAAACAATCCGTAACATGATTACCGTAGTTCCTACCCAGTGGGGAACGGAAATAAGTATCTGAAAAACGCTTAGAAATATCATTGGGATCGTAGATTTTCATCCTGACTAAAGATTCCCCCAGGTCAAAGGTCATGCATGTGTCATCGGTATATCGCACATAACCTTCTTCGATGCTAGAAAATCCAGATCTTCGTGCGTCAGTAACTTCGTCATTGATGGTATCATAATATGATTTCACAGTTTCATAAGGAAGTGTTTTCCAGTCATTTTCAAAGTTAGCTCCCAAACAATCTCCAAATAGTGCACCGAGAGATACTCCTTGAAACTTTGATAAAAGTGTTAATTCTTGTGCAGCCATTCCCAGATAATATATTAATTTATAACTTTTATTTAGCTGTGAATATATGAAGCAAATGATTAAAACACAGCACAATACAATGATACATATTCAGAATAAAGAAAATATTACTGCAATGAACTTTATAGTAATACTGTAAACACAAATATTATAGCACAGTAAAAAAAATTACGGCTATCAATGGTGGAATCGCTACCAGAAAGAAATAAAATAGGCAGGTAATGCTGAGCTGGGACTTTCAAAAAATACTTACCGGTACATATTATGTACAAGTAGTGGTCTCAGTAGGCTTATTAACTTCGAAATAGAGAAATATTAGCTGGGGATGATTGTAAATAAGCTATAAACACAAAAAATTGTCTGAACAGAATGCAATGATAGGCAATATTTACATAGGTGGAAAATCATAAAAAATTTTATGAACAACCCAACAAGTACAAAAAAGCAAAAATTTTATTGGTGGACTCAGAAGAGTATTGCAGAGACTCATTACTTATCGATTTTAATTGGTAAGTATGTTGATAGGTATTTGTCTGTCTGTATGTCTGTTAGATGCACGCCATATCTCACGAAAGCGAGATTGAATCTGCTCCAGATTTTGCATGTGCATTCATCTTATCTCGGACCAGAAGCCTATTGCTATTGATTTTCGGCAAATTATGTCGTATAATTAGCGAGTTCTTAATTGATTAGTGATGGGACGCAAGGTGTCACTATGGAGTGAGGGCGCTGTTTTGGGGGATCCCCTAACTTTCGATCGATAAGTCTTCGGTCTCTGACCGATATTCTCTTTTGTTTATTATTCCAGACCCACGAGGTCAACATCAAAAACATGAAAATGCAAATAAAGTAGGCAAACTAAATAAAATATTGCAATGCCAACACAAAAATAATTGTAGCAGATATTGAAAAGAAAATTTTCCCAATAATTAAATATGAACAGATTTTTTTTGATAAAATTGTCCCAGGGAGAAGTATACAAATGTAATAGTTTTCTGACACCCCCTCCATCTTCGAAGTATTCAAAAGTTGAACTTACTAGGTCCAGCACTTGCTAAGAAATTCAATAAGTCTATATCTATGCGATACTTAAGTCCAGTTTCATGTACACCAATTGAAAAGGCCACATTGATAGCCCATCGTATAAGGTATCTTGGAATCGAATAATGATCGAGAAAGAATGTTAATTGTTTTTCTGTATTCGTCAGAAAAAATCAAAGAATTTTGGTACGAATAAAATAGACATCTTACTGCAAATAGGTAAATTTAAAAAATGAAACAGTAATATTTATATTTTAATATATATTAAAAATTTGTACCATAAACTATGAGAATAGCTTGTATTTTAATATAGCTAAAATCATCAATTAGAAGGCCTATGAATCCACAGCCCTTTTTAGGAATATTCAAAACAAGGTCGCGAGAACTCAATAAGAAAACAAAGCCAATGATGAGTGAATCTATAGAGACGACAACAAAACGCCGAGAGCCATTCACAATATAACGAGTCAAGATTTTTTATTCTTTCTACTGTTCTCATTCATTTTATAGAGCTTATTAGCAAGTTTCATAGCCTTATCAGAACCCTCACAAGCTGTGACCCATTCTGATGGGATAGAATCCACTCCATAATATGCGCCAGCTATTGCCCCTGCCATACAAGCAACTGTGTCAGAGTCATGGCTCACAGAAGTGGCGTAAAGAACAGTTCTAACCATGCCATTGTAAGTTGATAATGTTGGAACATTGTTAGTTTTTAGTGAGTGTAAGAAAAAGAAAATTGCTGGCGGAACGGCCTGGATAGCTAACACACCCGTACCAAGTTTCGAGACAATTTCTCTTGGTGTAACTTCACTCTCTTTTTCAAGTAATTCCATCACATTTGACATTCCATTTTCAAAAATTTCCATGTCTTCTTTAATAGGTGTGATTTCTTTAAATTGATCTAATAATTCTTGGCAAAATATTTTAGCATTATCAATTTTTCCTGATGTCATAGCTTTTTCAATTGCAAGCGCTTGTAGTACGGCACCGTTGATTCCTCTTGGGTTTGTGTGGGTTAGCTTAGATTGCGCAACTACCAAGGTTAACATCTCGATAATATTATCATGATGTAACAAAGCAACTGGTGAAACCCTCATAGCGGAACCGTTTCCATAGGAACCAGAACCACCAAACTGTTCACTTGCTGGTTTATAAACATCACCACGGCAACTGTTTTCTTTCAGTTCACTAAAGACTTTCGCAACATGTTTTCCGTAATTCCTTTCTTTTGGCGAAGCAAAAAACGTCTCTGTAAATCGCTTAGCGACATCTTGTGGCTTGAACTTCCTATTTTTAGTCAGCGATTTAGCAAGGTCAAATGTCATGCAGGTGTCATCAGTGTAATGAACAAAACCAGAATCAGCTTTTGGTGTTTCCATAGCAACCTTATCTTTGATTGTTTCATAATAAGAGATAACTTTTTCATATGGCAAAACGCTCCAATTATTTTCAAATTTAGCTCCCAAACAGTCCCCAAATAAAGCTCCGAGAGAAACTCCTTGGAACCTTGACAGAAGAGACAATTCCAATTCTTGAGTTGCCATATTTAACCCAAGATAACTAAAAATCTGGCATGAACAGTATGTTTATTTGTCATGTAAATAAAAGTTAGATGAATATACATATCCTGTCTTCAACCACAGTATACTGCAATAGCACCAATACCACTCGGCCATTCGTAACACAAGCCACAGTACAGCATAGTTCTACGATTTCGAGAATAGCCCCACATTGAAAGACATCAATTATAACAGTTAGAGCATACCATTCCTTTACAAGACGGTTGATTTACAAGACAGTCTGCGATTCCAAGAATAGCCCCCACATTGAAATACATCAATTATAGCAATAAGTGCAAACCCCTCTATTTCAGGACAGTCTGGGCCTCCATATAGGCAAACCGACACTGCAGAATATAATAAAAGCAAGCGCAATCTAAAAACGTTACCATTGAATTCCTCAGAAAAAAATAGTTTGATTCACCAAAGGAAAAAGTATATTTCCATAGCATTGAGAAAAAAAACCAACACGATTACTTTAAATCATTACCGGTACCATATCCGGACAAACATCAGAACATAATGTGATACCGTATGGCAGTTAAGGTTTAACTAGGCAATTCAAAATGCAGTTTCAGAGCACGAGTTTTTTCACCTCAAATATGTACCTATCCTAGAACTCAACTAATCCAAGATGGATCATCACTGAGACTTAGGTATATAAAATTCATAGTTATGTAGTCTAGCTCTCTGCCTCTCTCCCTTGTCACTTTCATTCTTTTACAAAAATCATGACGATAAATACGTACGGTACGGTACTCTACCACACCTAATTTTGCATATTACTATCCTATTATCGTCTACCTCGGGGTGGTCCAAACCCAGGCCCGCGACTACAGCCTACCAGTGTACCGGTACCGTATTTCTATAAAATTTCAATTATGTTTTTAACATAGTCTTGCGGAAATAAAATATCTCACTCTCTATAACTGCACCGTCATAATTATGGGATGGTTGCGCTAACATTATTCACCGGAAATACGTACGTCTGCTGGAAAGTGAAGTCATGACGTATAATAATAAGTATAAGTTTATTCCGACTCCATAATCAGCAATAGACGATAAAAAAATAGATAAAAACAAAAGTAAAAGTAACTGATTATAGAATCGGGAAAGTGAACAAAACCTAGAGTAAGGTTTGAAACGTACAGATTTTAGATGGAAAGGTATTGATAAAAGGAGTAGTACGTGTTCGCTCACCCAAAAGTAAAAAAAAAAACTAATTAAGGCACACACGCACACACAATCATCGAGACATGATACTGTCGAAAGCGAAAAAAGCGAGACTTAAAAGTAAAAAGGAAGGAAAATATACAAACAAATGAAAAAAAAATGAATAAATTCTTTTGTCACACCAAATTAATAATTTTATGAGGATTGCCAAATTGGATACCGAATTAGTCAACAGTCAGTCAGTCAGTAGTTTATTTAATCCCAAACCGAATGTAAACATTGACGAACAAAATTGAAAAAAATGAAAAATTACATTTCAGTGTGAAGGGAGACGCGATAAACCAGAGAAGGTTATCGAGCAGCGTCACCTTTGAGGCAGTAAGTCTAATATTAAATCATAATGAGAAAGAAGTCAAACATAAAATACTAACAAAAGCCGGACTTGAGACGCCATTAAGCGACCCGGTAACCCGGATAATAACGAAAGAAAGCAACTCCAGACACGACAGGCCGCGGTCGCCATGGTGACCGCATATCATTGAACAACCAACCAAGAGAGCCGGACTGCCGTGGTTATTCTGTGGCTGCGCTAAAGACTTTTGTACTCTTGGCGCAGTGCCAGTATCGCATTTGAGAGGGACATCACCGGATAGTTTTAATTAATTTACAAGCTAAGCAATGTTTTAAATACACACTCGTGGGGCTATGCAGAGGCTGTGTGTTGGAGGTAAATAGGCTAATATATATACGATAACAATAAGAAGAGTTAGGAATGGGAAAAAAAAATAAGAGGTAAGTTAAACATTATTCTGATGTATGCTAAGTGGTTGTTAGACCGAAACGTTGTTATGTATTGTGGATAGAAAAGTATTCCTCAAAAGATATCGTCAAGCTGATTGTAATTGGAGTCATCTAATGCCAAATTGCCCAATCAGAATTGCCAAGTTGGATGTATGAAGAGGTGGGCTAGACCTGCTTCACTCATCAAATAGAATCCACAACAAGCCAAATAACGTCCAAATTATTTTAAATACTATTAATCAATAACAGTATCGGTAATCATAATTAAAATTAATTAGGGCGGTATGATACAGAGGTAGGAAAATTGGTTAAGGGAATATATATGGTGTTTAAGGTTCAAGTAAGGTTTCTAGGGTCATGGATTATAGGCAAGTAACTTTAATTGAGGTTGTTGATCACTGCGGTCAGTTCAAATTCATCACG